GGGAGTAGGTTGGGACTGGTTAAGACCTTCGGGTTAGGTATGGTCCCAGACGGTGCCTCGCACTCCATAGTATGGGTGTAATCGCTCTGTTCCTTTTCCTTTACAGAACCCACACTGATGTTCTCCTCCTAGAATGCGTTCAACGTAGATATTTAGTTTCACTTTATACTAATTTACTTAATCACAAATGTATATATTGACAAATTCTTTTTCATATCCCACGGCTTAAAAAATATCAATACTATTATATATCAATACAGACAATAACAATTATACAAAATGTAATTTCAGAAAACCAGATACAAGACAATTTCTGAAATTTATAATAAAAAAAATCTGACGCCATCTGGATAGAGTAGGTAAGTAACGGTAACACATATGCATTAACAATATTGGTCTTTTGCTCCGGTTTAAGAAGGCAAGAGTTTATCGAAGTTGTCGTTAATTTTTCCTCATTTATCCACTAGCCCTCCCGAGAACGTCCATCCTATATATTTTATAGTATTATCTGCCTTTAATGTGTGGGTGACCTCTCCGTTCTGAAGGGAGAGCATTGTTTGTTGCAGCTCTCCTTTATCCATTATTAGGCCCACGCCTTTCTTCGGATTAATACCCAGACCGATCTCGGCGAGGTTCCTCTGTTCACAAATTATCCTCTCTGCAGCACCCTCTTCGCGTGCCGAAACAGCCTGGCCATAAAAAACGCTGCAAATTATTACACAATGGTTTATTATTTTCAAAAAGATATATATCAAATGTGATATGACACTTTTCTTGTCACATAAAAACAAATTATTTTATTTGCCATTAGTGATTTGCAATGATGCACAGACTAAAATTTGATTGCTTCACTTGATATAAGATTTTGCAGAAATCAAAATCCAAAAGAAAGGAATATCAGCTTTACATTAAATCATTTGGAAAATATCATAATCGAAAAAAAATATATTCATCCGATTTCATTATTTTTTTTTTTTCATGAAAAAATTATAAATAAAATGTTGTATATTGTCTATAATATTTAGAAGCAACACTTGACAAACAGTTTTTTTTTATTATGATATTTACAATTGTATTAGTATGAATACACCAAGTAAATGTGTATAGAGGAGTGCTTATTGAGAAACTAACCATTGGTGGCTAAAGAAAAAATATATATTCGACGAAAAAATGAATAAATCTGTTAAAAAAATAAATTATCAATGCACAAAGAGAAAATTTTTAATAAGAAATATGAAAGCTAACAATAAAATATACTTACAAAAATTGCGGATAGGCACAGTGAGCAGCACTTAAGACATATCTCGGGGTGATGAGAGATCCACCACAGCCCCACGATACTTCTATTTCATCACAATATGTCTTTTCAGTACCACAGAAACCAATCAAAGCCTACGTTTTTAAAATAATATCTTGGTCACATCATTTTAATAAACCTTAAGAAAAGATAAATTTCAATTAAAATAATATATATATATATATATATATATATATATATATATATATTTATTTATTAGTTGAACATATTTGTGGCTCACAATAAATTTGCCATCTACCTTAGTATTCAGCAAATATGATATCAAGGAGAATAATAACAAGACAAAAAAAAAACTACAAAAAAAAAACGTATTAAAATAACACATACATTATAACATAATAACAAATATACACAAAAAAAGATAATGCAGCAAGTAGCTCAATGCAATAAGTCTCTTGGCCACCGCCTCAGCAGTCTTCTGGGCGGATTATATGGATTTGTGGCAGTAGATAGAGCTTGAGTAAGTGGATTGGAATTTAGAGTCAGTCTGTCATGAAAATTATTAAAGCGGTCAGTGGCAGTTGCCGTGATGAAATGAGTGTTAAGGTCAGTGTGTAACGTGAGATTTGAAACGTAAAAGGGTGCGTCTACAATTTTCCGAAGGACTTTTGACTGGAATGACTGAATGATTTTTATATTTGATTTCTTTGCTGTTCCCCATAGTTCGATCCCATATGTCCATAGTGGTTTAATGAGGACTTTGTAAATAGTTAATTTATTAGTCACAGATAATTAAGAACGTCTGTCAAGTAGCCTAGAAAGAAGTCCGTATCGCTGATTAAGTTCTTTTCTTTTTTGTTTTATGTGGTATGTCCATGTCAGTCGTTTGTCCAAGTGGAGACCCAAATATCGTACAGTTTTTGAAGGTGTTAGAGCAATATTATTAAAGAACACCGGAGGACAAGAGTTATGTTTAAGTGTAAATGAAACAAATTGACTCTTAGACTCATTCATTTTTATTCTCCACCAATTAAAATAATAACAATATAAATTTTAAAAAATATTATATTTTTTTCAAAATGATGTTTCCCATCAAGTTTCTTGTTCTTTATATCTGCAGTGTACCTTTTTAGGTTAATTTTTTAGCTCCACTAACTCTCGAGGTCTTATATTTAGCTGTATCCATTCTTTTTTCTGAGGTCAAAATATGTTTCATGTACAAATAAGTACATTTTATATAGAAGAAATCCACAGGTACTTGAAAGAATGACATAATTATCCGGACTGTACCGAGATGAGGATCCAGTTTCTCATATTTTAACGATTCTGTAAGACTGACCATTGAATAATAATGTATCCAGAGTGTACTTGTTGGTATTCGATCTTGTTACATTTTCCTCAAACTAATTTTAATAATTCATTGTCTTCAAAATTATTTAAAAGAACAGATGTGTTTTGGTTGATGTATGGGGTTTTCTCATAAAGGTGTCATCTTCTAGTCGTTCTAGACTCCTAGATAAATTTGATTTAGAAATAATAGGCCAGACACGATCCCTTACAGCTCTTCAGTATGTGTTATAACTATTGTCTGCAGTTATTAACTCTCTTACTCTCATAATGGTCACAATAATTTTCCTATATTGCATACTTTTTCCAGAATAAACAACTTTTTTTTTTCTATCTATCTATCTATATTTGAATGTAGTAAAAATACAACTTTTGTATCGGTCTCAAAAATTTAAAAATTCAGATTAAAAAAAAACACTAAAAAAGTATATAATTATTTTTCTTAAACCCATAGTGCAGGGGATATTTAGAAACAAATAATCTGAATATTTTTTATAAACTTTTTTTTTATACCGTGTCACTTCGAATGATTTTTTCATTTCATATAAGCAAGTAATTCGTGGTTGTCTGTTTTTTATTTTTTTTTTATTAGTGTAACCACCAAGACAACATATATTAAAAAGTAAATTGTATTAGTTTGCAACCATTTATGACCATTTGACTAGACTTGATTAATTATTAGAACTAGATTATTTATTACAACTAGATTATTTATTAGATAATTTAAGCTAACTTATTTAGTAGAAATCAACAGAAGCAAAATTCTGTTTTGTGTTACGAATTTGCTTCACATCTTTACAACCTTATGTAAAAACCAGGGCCGAAACTAATGAATGTATATTAAAATGGAGGCTTGTACCGGCTAAATTATTTAAAGACGAAAAAAATAAATCTGAATTCTGATTGATATGGTCTTGATTCAGTAAATAATGTTATGAGAAAGAGGTAATTGTTATCATATGATATTAACTCGAAATATATTTATTGTCTTTGTGGAGGGAAAGAAGAGAATGCAAAGTTAAATATGTCTCTCCCTTCTTCTGAAAGAAAAATCTAGCTCCAGCCCAGATTCAACCTGAATAGATGTTTGATTTCTTTAAAATTTTTAAAAATATTTATTGCAAAAAACTGTAATTTCATAAAATTTGAATACTGTCTTAAGTGTAGAGATAAGAAATTTCGACTATAGGTCGGAACGCAACGGATTATTCCACCACTAAAATTCGTTCCACTTCCTCTTCCGTTCCATCTTCGTTCCGAACAACACTTGAGACGCGATGGAGAATAATGAAGCAATTATTCGTAATATTAAAAGTATTTAAAACGACAGGAAAATCCTTGGGGTAGAAGAAAATGAAGATAGGCGAAGAGGAGTACAGAAAAATTAAGAATAAAAAAAAACGAATTGGTCGCTTTAGGAACTTTGATGAGTACCGAGAGCAGTATTCTCCGAAAGGGACATCTGAATCGAAAGCAATGATTGAATTAACCAGATACTTAGGAAAGTATATTTTATCCGACATCGAGGATCCTATTAAGTGGTGATTTGGTCTGCAACACAACAACCCTACACCATTGCCAGATAAATGTTGAGTACAGTGGCCACTTCGTTTCCAAGTCAACGAATCTTTTCAAAACTGCCATGTTGATTAACGAACGTCTGACTCTACTCTCAGCTGGTATAGTAAAAATTGCTGTTTTTAAATTTCTATTTTTGAATTAATTTATATTTAGGTTTTACCATTTTGGTTTTCTAATTCCGCCCGGAACTGTCCATTTCTACTCAAGTGTGTTCTATTTATTTAAAAACACACGAATTTAACAGTTTAAAACTTATAAAAATACAAATTAAAAACTAAAATTAACTAGAAAACAAAGAACAAACCTATTTTAAGTCTTACCATGTATGGATGTTTCTTACCAGGTACCACTATTCCCCCAACGCCTCCGCCACCCTCACCCCCAGTCTAAAACAATGTACATTAATACATTTTTACATAATTGATACATTTTATTTATATGAAATTTATAATCTGTACATATATTATTTATATAATTATATTATTTCATCCTGGTGGTTGAGAAATTCACAAACAATAACAATAAATTTTCGTCATTGTTTATCGCCTTTATGGACAAAATTCACAAAATATGCAAAATAAGAACTGCTTAGACTACAGTCGGTATATGCAACATAAGATTAGTTCAACTGCATGCTTTCTATTATGCAGAGCATATTGAGCTGGTGACCAAGTAAGAAAAAAAAACTCGTAAAAAGGAACAAGTATCAACTGCCGCAAGAGCAAGGTTATGTAACATATTGAAACAAATTTTTTTTTCGAGCTAACACCAATGTCTGAAAACTCTATGAGTTGGACAATAGGAAACTATGACAAGACATCTTTGAAACGGTACACACACAGACGGACCAAACACATACTACTAAACGTCTAAATCAATCTGTTTACTTACGAAAATTTAACGGATTCTTCTCTATTAACAAACAAATAACTATAAACTCTATCACCCCAATTAATAAATTATATTTATAGGACGTGTGTGTATATTTTTATTTATAGGATGTATGTGTATGTGTATATATGTGTGGGTGTGTATGTGTGTGTATGTATGTAAGTATATATATATATATGTGTGTGTGTGCATGTATGTGTGTATATAAGTATGTATAATTATATATATAGTTTTCTCATGTACATAAATTATATTTTGTTTTTCTAGTAATTTTAAGGATTATAATCTAGTTTTTCATTTATATCTTATGTAGGTTTTTTATGAGGTTTTTCCTACTGTATATATAAATAAATAAAAATTTTAACAATTCTAGTAAAATATACTAAGAAGTGTCCAACAGAATAAGCAAAGTAAACAATATATATATATATATATATATATATATATATATGTAAATTATCAGATTTGCAATACCACTTCGGGAAAGAGAGAGATAGGAAAGAATATCAAACTCCACCTCTATAATACAAAGCCCTTCATCTCCCTACATTATTATAGGCTTCGAAAACTGAGTCGTCCAAGGCTAACACTTAGGCATTACGGCTGAGGAACTGAAATTCCTACGGAGAATATTGGAGATATAGAATAAGAGATGAGAGAATAAAAGAAGAATTCCTGATGCCTTCACTGATATCAAATGTGGAATGCAGACAACAATGATGGTATGGACACAAGTGTAGAATATTAGAAGGCAGAATATCAAAAAAATGTTTGGAAGCGTGGCCAATCTGCATAACAAGCTCGGTGTTCTTAGGACCAGTCGCAACAGATTTATCAGTAGGCAAACCAACTTGATTCTCAACAAGACGCTTAGCTAATCTGTATGGCAGATTTCCATAAGCGTGAGGAATTGTATCTAATGATAATTAAAAGGAATATTATTCGATGTATTAGTTGGAATAATTAGTAACTTAGCTGGATAGTTGAGGTTATAGTCAAGGAGGAAAAGAGTGATGTGAGCTGCACCTCACATCCATGGCCAACTGAATACAAGTTTGCCAAGTTTGTAAAGTTGGAGAAGCTCGGTTGTACAATAGAGGATAAACGCATTTTTCTTTGACTGTATTAACAACAATGTCTTAAAAATTGTTTGAAGAAACTCTCTAAAAGTATTCCTCTTTTATCTGGCCATGAGTGGCCTATAGTATAATTATAGTATACTAGTGTTTGTAGCATCATTTATTATCAATTTTTATTCCTCAGCAGGAATAAAAATTTATGAAAAATAAATAATTTATTTAATAAATAATCCGAAAGTATTCATGACTGAATACAAAAAATATATTTTTTTAATTAAATATATTACCTGTAAAATGAACAACAATCCATGAAATAAGTATATTATTAGCACACAGATAAGCCTATTCCAACCAATCCACTTATATCAATTTTATATATATATATATATATAACAGAAATAATATTGAAATATTATTCAATTTTGGATCACTTGTCCCAATTGAATAATATATATTTTAAAAAAAAAATATAAAGTTCTATTTTTTTTTGTAACATAAATAAGTATTACATAATAATCGAATAATAGTACAATAATAATTTGAAAACTACAACCTAAACGAATATCAAATGTGATATAATTCAAATGTCAATAACGTGTGTCCACTGATTTTCGAGCTAGTGCATTCCTCCTGTCACCCTCCTCCCCCCCCCCAAAAAAAAATTAATAATAATAAAATAAAAATTAATAAATAAAAATAAAATATTTTAACAAATAGACTAATTACTGAAACCTTTGCAATACAATCTCTTATGAAATCATAACGCATATAAAAAATAGGCATAAAAATATATTATACATTTCATTTCTAGGACCCCCTAGTTAGCTATACGTTATCTCTCTCCCTCTCTCGATCATAGATATAACATCTTCTCCCCCCCCCCCCTTAGTTCTTCCCCGCCCCAAAACCTTCGAATCCGTCACTTAATGAATTAGATGTATTTCAAAGACTTACCTGGACTGATTTATAGGGATCTATCTGAAACAAAATTGAAATAAATTAAATTATATATATAAATAAATATATAATTAATATTATGAAGCTTATATATATATATACATATATATATATATATATATATATATATATATATATATATATATATATATATATATATATATATATATATATATATATATATATATATATATATGTGTGTGTGTGTACTTATATAATTAATATTATTAAGCTTATCATTACAACTAATAAAAATGTAGTAATAGTAATCCGCTACTGATTGAATTAGATATATTTCAAAGACTTACCTGGAATGATTCATAGGGATCTATCTGAAACAAAATTGAAATAAATTAAATTATATATATATATATATATATATATATATATATATATATATATATATATGATTAATATAATTAATATTATTAAGCCTATCATTACAACTAATAAAAATGTAGTAATGGTGGAGGTATCGTCGTGGCTAGAACTAAATGGAGAAGTAGCTTGGTGGGCAGGAGATGGATCTTACTATCCCCTAATGGGTAGTAAGACGATACATAACTATAGTAAATAGTGGGTAATTAATGAAATATATTATAAAATACAAGAAACTGTAAAAGTAACGAAATAAAATATGAAGTTATAAATATGTCAAAATAACAAGTTCTAAAACAGAAAATGATAACATGTGATCATAATAAGTTAATGAAACAATAAAGAAAAAATAATTTAATTTTTAATTTTATAACTGATAATTATTCTCTTGATCAAAAATAATCACAATCTATAATATATATATTATATGGCTGAATAGATCCTTTTTAGGCATATACAAAACTGCCTAAATACACTTGTTATTTGTACATTTTATTTAAATAATGATTTTTCATGTATCTTTCATGTAAAGAAGATGTTAGAGAACTAAATTTTTCTTCTGGTCAAAATATTTAAGTTTGTTTGAAAATAATTGAAGGAATCGTCAGGTTTCTTTATTTTAAACGTAATTTTTATTCTTAGAATTTATATCGTAAGCTATAAATAAGAATAAATTTCTATTCTTTTCTACGACAGAGATCTGAAAGAAAAACACAGATCCATGACCGCTTTACATGTAGATAATTTGAAAAATCTTTGTTTTTATAAAAACAAAACAAAAAAAAATGGAGTATTTATCCAATTATTTTTATTATAATAAACCCCAGATCATGAAAAAATAACAAACGTTGCAACATTTAATTATTGATAATTTTTACTGAAAACACGGGTAATTATATGTGGCACAATAAAAAATAATGTAATTCTTTTTCACACAACATCAGGTGAATCACAATTTTTGAAAAATAAAACTCAACATAATTAATACAGACTTAACAGTTATTGAACGGGTAAGTTTTCTCAGAAGTGAGATGTCTGTAATATAGTTGGATAATAGTAAAAAAACAAAAAACAGAATAGTTTAAGATTTTTTTAAAGAGCAGATCTTAGCTACGTTTAGCCGCTCAATAATTCTCTTTAAACGGATTTAAAAGCGACGATCACTATTTTCCCTTGGTATGACTTTTGTCTAGTTTACAATGAATCAATTGTTCATCACTTAAATTAAATATTTCTTTAGTTTACGCTTCCTATTTAACAAAATAACTGTCTTATTTAAATAAACAAAATACTTGGATTTCTAACTTTTCTGTTAAAAATCGGGCCATATTTTACGTAATCTTTTTTTGTAGCTCTTGAAGTCTGTCACTCCTATAAAAATGTCCCTCTACTTATAGAAGACCCTGTATATAAGGTGTCTCGTAAGTAGTGGATTACATTTAAAGAAGTAATACAAGACCTCAAAAGCTACAAAAAAAGTTTCTATAAACAATGGTTCGATTCTCTGCAAAAATGTATCAAATTAAAGTGTTCTATTTTTTATTAAGAGTTATATTTTTTGTTGAATAAGAATCAATAACAAAAGAAAAATATTCAATTTAAAATTGCTTCACAGTAAACAATAGAAAATTTACTTTTCTACGAGTTTGTCACCCGATGGTCTACCGGACTAACGGTTGTGCACAACACCTCGTGTTGCCATGCAATAATCGAAGTTGGATACATAAAAATAATTATTTGGAAGTTCGCGTCCCGGTGCCTCGGATTTTAACTCTGGAATTAATCCCCAGCCCTCATCCTCTGGCCTGTGAAATCCACCGTATAACCTAATTGACAAGGTAGGGAAGAACAAAAAAAAAATCTCTCATTAAGAAACTATAAGTCCATATTAATTGAATTGATGTTAATTATTAAATATGTTGAGATTAACCCCAATAAAGGTGATTTTATCTCCGTCACCTAAAGTTTTTAGCTTAAGTGGCTAAAATAAATTATTTCAAAACTATCTCCTTTTTCTTTTCCATGACCTGGGATGTATTATAATAAAGATAACTTCATAAATACTCATATGATTTACAAATAATGATTTATCATCTTAAGTTATAATGAAACTGAGGTTTTTATTAAGATCTCTTTTATTTTTGGTTTATTGATAAATATTACAATATGTCTCAATAAAGGACATTTACAATAGAGTTCTGAGAGCACATTCACACCATATTTACAAATTAAAAAATATAAATAAATAAAAAAAATAAGCTAACTTCAAATAATATAAAGCTACAAAAGAACAAAATAAAATATCATAGTGAGAAAAAAAAAAATAAAATAAACATCTTAGACGCAGGCATACCTATTACACTAAGATCTCTATTATAGAAATGTATGCTTATTTATAAGTGACAAACTAAATCATAATATTTAGGTTTTTTTTATTTATTTATATTTTTGTATATACGGTATGAATGTACTTTCTGAACTCTATTATAAGTGTCCTTAACTGTGACAAATTGTAATACTTCTCAATAACATTTTTCAAATATATATATATATATATATATATATATATATATATATTTAGGTTTAAAATTAAAAAAAAAAAAAAAAAAAAAAAAAAAAAACTGCCGGATGCTTGAATTATTTTTATGAAAGCATAAATATTAGGATTTGGATTACATTCCAAAATCCTTAGTAAAATCCTAAATACCTCATATTTTATCACAAATAAAACCATTCATAAAGACATTAATGTTCCGTAAGTCACAGATTTATTCCAAGCTAGATATACATTCTTTCATGACAAATTTCAGTCCCATCCAAATCCACTTGTTTCTAGCCTTCCTTTTTCCTCAATTTCTGACAATCCTCCTAGTCGCTTGAGAAGAGAATGGCATCTTGATCTTCTTACTTAGAACTTTTTTTTTTTTTTTTTACTTACTTTATTGAATATTAATACATTATGCCACATTGAAGGGCATTAATATTAAGGCTACATGATTCATTCACACAATATGTACATACAATTAATATCAATAATAAAGACAAAGAAATATAAAAAAATAAAATAAGTAAATTGGTATGCCTGTGTAAAAAAAAAAAAATGAAATAATAGATAAAAGCTAGATGAAATTAAAGTAAATAAATCACATTCACACCTATGTACAACTTTGAATTATGTAGGAACTATCATTGAGTAGCGTCTCCACAAGTCTGTTCATGTTATTACTCTTGATTTGATAATATTTACTAGTTGTATTTATTTAGTACAGTTTGTATAAATATATTTTTATAAAAGGATTAGGAAGTTTTATTTGGTTACTTATAAACATGGACCAATTTCCATTATACAGATCTTAATAAGAAACACAGTTCCATATTAACTTTAGATGATCAATATTTGAAAAAAATTCAACATTTCTTTTTTTGTTGTGAATACAATTTGTACTTATGCGGTTAGGTTTATTATAATACATATGAGGCTATGGAAAAAATTAGGAATTACATCTTCGCAATAATAATTTAAGGGAAAACACGGCTACTTTTATGTTACAGGATACAAAATAACCTCATTTTTTTACACAACTGTAAGTGAATTCCTACTTATTACGTAATAAACCTCAAATTAATTGACATGGACTTGAAAGTTTTTCAAAATGTTGGGTATCTGATTTGTAGATGGATGATGATGAAAAAAAAATCTCGAATAATCCAAGATGTTTTTAGAAGCCGCACTTAGCTTAGTTAATACACTCAGAAGTCCTCTTTAAGTGCTGCTTCTGAAACCTTGATTAGAAAGCATGCTGCCTCTCTATGGACCACTTGAGCATTGAGTCTAGCTAGACTGGAGACCATTTTCTCTTGTCAGACTGCACTTTGACCACCCTTCATCTCTGGCCACCAGGGAGGACACAGGAGGTTATCTTCTTCTACCTCACAATAGATGGCGCTACTGTTTCGCAATATTTTACGTATGAACATTAAAATAAAGTTATAAATTATCGTGTCTCAACTATCGGATTGTAATGGGATTATGTACACTCCTCGAGACATTCATAATCATAGGAATCTAGGAATAGTGATAGGCTTTGAAAATAAGGGGGACCAAGAGTAGTGTAACAGCATAACATTGTACAATTCACGTTAGGGGGAGACAGACTAAAAAAACAAGCATAAAGGTGTAGCTCAGTAATTAGATTATTAAGTGTAATATAATACGATTAATTATTACCTAGTTATTAGTCATTATCCATTGCTATCTATTGAAATTTTTGGAAATCATAATAAGTAAACGACTGCAAAATATTAAGGTGGCTGACACCCCCTCCCCCCCATTTAAAAATGTTAAAGGGCCAGAAGATTCCTCCTCTCTCTCGTGCCGGAACATATTACTAGTGCCATCGAAATTAAATGGAAGTCCCATCCACCAATATTATAATCTGATATATAATAATAAATTATATCTGAAACTTATAAATCAGTGACAGTTTTTCTACAAAAAATAAAAGAAAAGTACGGCTAAAGACGTTTTCACTTAAAAAAAACATTTAACATGACCTGTTATGAAATCTATGTACATTTCTAAATAAAAATATTTTAAAAATTTTACCTTTACTGGTGTTTCAAATCCCTTAATTATAATAGTTAGAGGGGCGTGAAATACAGAAATTTTTTCCAGCTCAGCACATACTGTAACAAAAGATGGAGATAAATAAAACAAAAGCAGCAACTTTACAAAACTTTAAAAGACAGGTTCCTAAAACAAATCTTATTAATAAATCTACGTAAAAATATCAGAACGAACATAATTATATGTGCATATACAGAGTCGGAGTAGTTTAGTGATCTTATATCCTACCCAAAGATTCAAATTTGGATATGACAAGCAATTATTAATTACTAGTAATAGGTACATCAGTCGTTAATCTATCATTCCGGGTGGATCAATCATAGTCAGCTTCTGTAATGCGTGTGTCGTAAACCTGAAGGTTGAGTATATATTACCCTCTAACTGTCTATGATAACCTACACCTAACTTGTAACAGTACATAGCCCAGTAACCTTATACATCCTAAATTCCATTTGATGGGAACAGAAGGTTTCTTTTTGTTACCTCACTAACGAAGATAAGCATTGTATTCGTGCGAGAGGTCAAAAAAAAAAAAAAAAAAATATGTGCTCAGAATCAAAAATTTCCACTCGCCTTTTACGTTTCAGACATCAAGGATCAATTTTGGTTCGGTGTCTCTGTCGTCAAATCAATGTAACGGGCATATCACCAACTACCGTTTATCCGATTTTCATGAAATTTTCACGGATTTTGCGGGTTGGTGTCGAGATGGTCCCATAAAAATTTAATAAATTCTAACCAGCACTTCCGCTTACGCACGCGCAAACGCATTTCTGTAGATATGCCAATATTTCATAAACAGTTAGTTCGATATGTCTAAAATTCGGATAAAAGATAAATATTTCTGTAAAAATAATATAGAGTCAATTTGATTGAATTCTGTCCATTACCTTCTCTTATATATGCTCAGACGTGTTTTCATTTATATGTCTATGTCTCTAAAATCGCAAGTTCGATTTGGCTCAAATTTTGAGGGAATTGAGGAATTGGTAAACATAAAATGAAATAGGCATCAATTTTATCAAATTCTATCTGATATCTCAAAGAAAAATACTTCCGCTTTCAGATCAAGCAATGTGTTATTTGATGTGCCTAAAGTTTGAAAACGGCATATTCGTTTGGCCAAAACTTGGAGGAATTTTGTTGAATAGTATAGAAACTATCTAGTATGACTTTCATTAAATTCTATTTAATAATTTTGATTAAAAATTTCCTCCTTAAATATCAAAGTTGTGTGAACTTCACTCATAGCTTTATATTTTCTAGCTTAATGAGTTTTGCTCTGACTGAAGAAAAGTCAGAAAAGTCTCGTTAACTCCGAGCAAACAAAAAGTTGAATTTTTCCTATGGATTTTTCGTTCCATCCATTTTACGAGTGAAAACATACCTATTTATTATATATCACTACTGTTAGTGCAAATGTCGCATGTAAAAGTTTTCAATTTTTATTCTATTTTAGAAATTATGTAGTCTGCTTCTGATATGAGTAGTCTACAACTATGAAAATAGCCGAGGGCAATAAAATATGAAATTATGCTCATTTTAACATGACCTGTTAAAATGAAATTACTGAACCTGTTAAAATGAAGTCATAAATGATAAAGAAATAATTAGTTTTTAAGCTCTCCTGTAAAACACCGAATCTTTACATGCGTCATTTGCAATAGCAGTAGCGAGATAAATATTCAGTATGCCCTGGATTTTTTTGATTTTTTATTACGAATTATCAAAACTGCTATATGTTCCCAATTTTTTCGGTTTCCCCCAAGTGTATCCATGGATAGCCACGTATTCCGCAACAATCTTTCTATACATATTTAAATTATATTAAATATTCTACATTTTAAGACCATATCAGGCTCGAATAACCAAATAGTTTTCGAGAAGCAGCTTTTAAATATTTATAATAATAATAAGGCTTAGTGAACCCGAAGGTTCGATGCCGACACCACCAATCGCTTGTTACACACCTCCCTCCACCGTTCGCCATCCAAACCCAGTCCCTTCAGATCGGCTTTAATTTTTTAAATATTTAGAGAAAAAAAAATTCCTATTCCAACTATTTTTCATGTTTGATCATGTGCAATTGTCTTTTATCTTCAATAGCCTGTTTGATATGAATCTGTGAAGTAAATATTCATTCATTTTAATATCTTGAACTTCTCTTTCAACATATTCAAATGAATGAATAATGGGGAGGGAAAAGATTTAGTGGGAGAGGGTAGTCCGTGGACCAGACCCCCCTCTCGTTCATCCTGCCTTCACCTTTCTATAAATTGCGTATCGTTATGTTGCTTGTAACTATATATTAAAATAACCCAATATTCTCACAGAAAATGTGGCCGAAATGTCACAGAATGGCGCCCAAACATAGAGGATAGGTGACTTTGACTTGATTTATTATTTCGTTCACTGAGATTCAGTTATTGGCTCAATTTCTAAAGTGATTTTCTAAAGTGATCCGGGTGGGAGTGCGCTGACGACGAAAAAACAGAGCATTGTAGTGATGGAATATAAACATTTTAAATAAATGTAACTGTTGATATAAATATATATATATAGTAAAAAAAAATATATACATTTACATATGTTCCCTAAGATGTTTAAGTGAATACACGTAAAGATGAGGAGAAGAAAAAAACAAAATAAAGTAATATATATATATATATATATATATATATATATATATACACACACAAAGGAATGTGTCGTGGATAAGCAGAAAATGAAATACATTTCAAAGAAATTCAATCTTATGAAAAAGAAAATTAGAAGTTGAGAAAAACAAACTTTACCTACTCACATTGCTTTGTGAGTGGTGATGGAAATTCTCGTTCAACACAAAATAAATAAAATAAACTGTATAAAGAAAATTAAAGCCTTATTACATAATATATATTTAGCCATCGTCTGATTGGATTGTGAAGAGGAATTGAAATATGAGAATTTTAAATATGGATAATGATGAGGCATGGCGGATTTTTAGTGGGATGGAATTCCAGAATGCAGTGGAACTAACAACAAAGGAATGTTTAAATGAGGTAGATCTGTGGAAAGGAGTGTAAAGTTCAGAAGGACGAGATATTGTGGAGAGGGTATGGATAGATGATTTGAATTGTAGGAGATTGTATGCGTAAGACAGACGATGATTATTGATTATTTGGTAAAGGAATGTGCCTAGGAAATATTATCTTAGGAAGGAGGATAAGAGCCAAGCTAATTCAGCATAATGGTACGAAACACGGGAATGCCTCAGGGTCCCGATGACAAATCTTACGAAGGCATTCATAATTCGTCGGAGGATGTGAGCAATATGGTGTTTCCAGGAGAGGGTTTGATCTATGGTCTATGAAAATGTTTATGTTTTTTACTGAACTTACAACAGAATAGCAGAGATAGCCTGGAATTAGTCTACCAAACTCAGGTATCTAAGAAATTTGATTCACATGATTCAAAGTTTCGGCATGCAACCATATTTCAATAATAATAAGAAAAGACAAAATTCTGAATAATTGGTAACCAGCTAACCACTTGTTGAACTCCATTCTATTCAAAGTTTGAGAGCCCCAGTGTAGTGATAATGATAAGAGGTAAGCCAATGCCTAGAACGACCTCATATAAAACAAGAGGCGAGGCATCTTCTGGAATTCACGCATACCTCCAGCACTGGAAATTGAAAGAGTCCTTTCACGATTAAGTCCCGTCTATAAAATATTATGAGAATAGAGGCCGACAAATCTATCTACGGAAATAATCTTAAAAGAGAGGATCAATAAGCCAGTTAAAGGAGAGATGCTTGAAGGAAGATCTCTAGAAGAAGCAAGTTTAAATGTAGGTTGGTGATACAGAACTTATGATGCAAAGCCAATAAAGAATATCAGCATGACTGAGGAATACCTTGAAAGAGGTTACGTACAAAGACTGCCAAAGACAATGATATGAACTTCACAATATTCTTAATTGATCTTTTTATTTTCACCAATCAGTAGATAAAAGGAACTCTAATGTTATATTAATAGAATCGTGGAATATTCTTTTCCCTAGAGTAGTCAGGAGAATAGCAATTTGCTGCCTCTAGACTAATGCAGTAGTTTAAGTATTTGTGTAACCGCTTTGTGTTTTTGGAACTAGGGAGATGTTATCGAAAACAAAAAAATTGTTAAGTCCTTACTTTTCTTTACCTTGCGACCTGGCTCTACGGTAGGAGTTTGGTACGTCGGACAACAAATAATCGGTTCCCAATCCTTTCCATTAAAGTTGCAAATTGGGGGATGATTGTTCTTGAAGTCTCCGACGGTATCGCACTTGGAAAGCATCCTGCAAATACCTCTGCCTCCGCCAAGTGGAGTGCAATTGTCTCCTGCAAATGAAGAAAAAAGTACAATTGGTTAAAATTCCTAAAATAAAATATTTATAAAATATATATAGATAATCAGAAATTTTGCTTAGTTGTATGCTATTCATTTTGTTGGTTCAGAGGACCTTGGATTTTCAAATAATGTAGGTAATAGGAGATGATAAAATTCTTTAAAAAATTTCAACCATCTGTTATTATTATGCTTGTTATGCTTACATACCAGAGCCTCTGCATCAAGGGCGCACAATCTTGGTATACAAGAGAAAGGGTGATGCCAACAGCATACCATCATGGCGACCCATAACCATTTACTCGATTGTGCGCCGAATCATTGAAAAAGTTCTCGACCAAGAATTGAGGAAACAGATCACCTTCAGCAAACATCAGAGAGGTTTCATCAGGGGCCTGCCGTGAACACATGTCAGCGCAAGAATCATTGCCAAATTGCCAAATTTAAAAAGAATGATTGCGCGGTGGTTTTTCTAGATGTTGTAGGCTTTTTTGACAACATTGGTCACGACCTGCATCAACATGGAATCAGCTCACTGGAGGCAAGAGGGGTCTCACTAGACTTGAAAGACGTGATTGCGGCTATCCTGGGTACTAACTCAATTAAGATTGGATTAGGAGCCCACGCGACAAGCTGGATCAAAGTGCGGCGAGAAGTACCCCAAGGCGGACCCTTGTTGCCCTGGCTGTTCAACCTGGCTGGGTTCAACCTGGCTGGGGACCATCTATACCGCGACCTGTGTGAGCAAGAATTCTCCAAGGATTATGGATACAAGTTCACCAACGACCAAGAATGTGTGATCCTCACAGGCTTCGCGGATCACAAGACTGTTTCAGCACGCGATAAGGGTGCTGCAGAAAGGATAATTAAATGTGTACAGAGGATCCTCGCCGAGATTGGTCTGGACATTAATTCGAAGAAAAGAGTGGGCCTAATAATGGATAAAGGAGAGCTGCAACAAACAAAGCTCTCCCTTGAGAACGGAGAAGTCATTCATACATCACATTTTTTTTAAAAATATGACTTACTATATTCTATATGGAGGTCGTTTAATAAGATCTCTATTGTAAAAATGATATAATCATAATAATAAAACATAATTAAAAAATAATTCGCTGACAAACACTTTGGTTTGTACATTTACTGGTTCTTAGATATAAGTTTAATTGTATATACTTCACCGGAAATTGGTCATATTAATACTCGTTTTATAAACTAAAATATATACTTAATTTGAACTATAAATAATGAATAATTTCCGGGTTGTTTAATAAAACTGATATAACAATGAAAAAAAAAATGAAATTCATTTGTTTATTTACTTTATTTTGTTCGGAGGTTAGGCTATTTCATACAAAAATAGGAAAATTTAATATTGAATGATTCATTGCCTCTGTACAACGAAAGATGGAAACGGCGAAGCTGTGTGCTCTTCTTGGTAAACAGAACTAATTGTTAGTATTTGGTAAACAGAACTAATTGTTAGTATTTGGTAAACAGAACTAATTGTTAGTATTTGGTAACAAAATAAAGAAAAAACTATAAATTTCGCTTTGAGGGAAATATTTGCTAAAATGGGTAGGAAAGTGGTGTGAGTGGACAACCTAGATTTTTTTTAATACAGTTATTTTTGATAGGGTTTCTCTCCACTAGTATTATAAAATTGTAACAAACTGTTGGAAACAGTGTGAATTATTTATTGTATCCATCAAGTCAGATCGTGGTCTTGTATAGAAAGCCCAGGATGTGCTCATTTTTGACACTGGCGAAGGTAATCTGAGAAATCGTGACTATTTTATGAAGGCTGCATGTCCGAGCTGTCAGCCATCTGAAGATTATTTCTTCTTATCTGCAGGTTATGGAAAATTTTGACCATGGGGTTATGTCTTGTTTAATTTCTGGTAGCTTGTTTGTTTATTGTTTCCACATTCTTTTTCACTGTTCTAGTAATGGATTCGATACAAAAATCAAGTGAGAGAGAAAAGTTAAACTTAGTAAACTATGCCAATATTTTTATCAGCTGTTTACATTATCTCTCGATTTGAGAGTGAATATAATATTCCTGCTAAAGTTGATCAAATGGTGTAGGAAACATAGTGGATTCAGTAAGCTAATATTGCAAAACAAAAAGTGTAGAAATAGCCAAATGAATTTTCTACTTTATCACTATTAGAAAATAGTACCAGTTCTTTTTCGATTTGTCCTTGAATGCTTAAGATTAAAACCATGAGCTCGGTGATTGTCCTGAAATGCTCCAGACAACAGTAAAACGTGATCGCTAAATCGGAGCATTTTTGAACAGATTTTCCAGATATTTCCTGATTTCCCCCAGATCAGGGATATGAGTAAAGGATATGCTCCCGTTCTACATCTTCATAATTGAATTTCTTATATGAATGGGATCTCATTCTGGTGTGAACTGTTTAAATAGTGTTATAAAGTGAGTAGTTATCATTTCATCTTAGGCGTACAGAAGCTTTATTGATGACGATAAAACCCCATCATATATCATACCCTCTCCGTCGAGATGATGGCTCGTGGGCAGCGTCTGACTAAGATGGAGCCGAGGAATTCGGCAAACACCTTTCTCTTACGTTCACCTCTCATCAGGAATCCAAGCCCACCCACACGTCAGCAGTAAAGGAATTCCTTAATTCACCCATCCCACTCTACTTACCACCTCTACCTTACCGCAGTTAATCATTCTGAGATCAAATACCACTTACAAAAACTACCCACCCGCAAATCACCTTACCTCTCAGATCCTTAGACAACTCCCTCCTAAAGCTGTCATATTCCTTACATACTTATTTATTTATTTAAACCCTACCGTGCCATTGAGGCAATACGGGTTTCGCAGATCTGGGCAGTTATACGTCACTGCATAACAGCCTGCTTTTGCAACGAGACCAATTTTCATGCTTAAATTTGTTGTCTATGGCCTTCTTCCGCTCCTCCTTTTTCCGGTGGCCTCCCTGGCGTGGGTCCTCTTCTTGTGAAGTTGAAGTGTGCGGGTCCAATGCCTTCTTTCCACACAAATTCTCTGTAGTACGTGTAGTTTTCTTCCGTAACTAGCTGAGGGAAATCGGGCTCTGTGAGAACATAGAGACCAGTCTCCCTCAACAATTTGGCCCTTAGCGACTCAATTCCTTACATACATATATAATTGCATCCTACGAACCACTCGCTTCCTCTTTTATGGAAGCATTCAACTATTATCCTATTCCCAAAATCAGGCACACCTCCCAACAGCTTAACTTCCTACAGACCCATTAGCCTATTTCCAATCCTTTCAAAAATCATTGAAAAGATCCTCCTGAAAAGAATCCTACCCTTTATAGAATCTCAAAATCTTCCTTCACACCAGTTCGGATTCCGTTCCCAACACTCCACAGTCCAACTTCGAGTGATTGATCATAGTTCCGCAGCCCTGGAAAGCAAGCAATATTACTCGGGTGCATTTCTGAACATAGCTCAAGCTTTTGACCGGGTACGCCGAGCTTCTTTTCAAACATGAAACCCATCTTCCTCAGTCCTTATACCTTGTCCTCCGTTTCTACCTCTCAGATCGTTCCTTCCGAGTTCGCTACGGCATTGAATTTTCAAATTGCTATCCAATTGAGGCTGGTGTTCCTCAAGGTAGCGTATTAGGTCCCGTCCTTTACATGCTCTTCATCACAGATATCGCTGTCCATCCCGATACCTTCCTGGCAACTTTTGCTGATGACACCGCCATTCTATCATCCGACTCAGATTCTGATATAGCATCCTTAAACCTTCAAAGACACCTCTCCCTGATTGAGCACTGGTGTATTAAATGGTGTATTAAAATAAACGAATCCAAATGCCAACATATCACCTTCACGCTCCGACGCTCTTCCTGTCCAGTACACTTTAATTCCATCCAGCTTCTTTTCTCAGACACAGTTCGTTACCTTGGCTTTCTCTTAGACAGACGACTAATGTGGAACCCTCATACTAGATTTAAAAGACATGAACTTAACCAACGATATGGCCAACTATAAATACTACTAAATAGAAAATCTAAAATCTCCATTGGAAATAAAATATTTATCAAATTTTAATATTATAAAATATTTATCTATAGTATATAAAATATACTATAGATAAAATATTTATCTATCTAAGACAATACTGAAACCTACTTGGTCTTACGAACTTGAACTGTGGTGAACAGCAAAATTGTCCAGCATCAAACGCATCCAATCATTCCAATCCAAAGTCCTTCGAATAATAGTCGATGCTCCTTTCTATGTAACCAACAAAACCCTACACCATGACCTTAATATCCCATTTGTCCTAGACCTTATCCCAGCAAAGTTCTCCAAATTTCTACAGAACCTTACCCATCAATCAAATCCCTTTTCACAACCCCTATCCAGTACCACCCATTCCTATAATCCTCCAAGAAGGTTAAAACAGCATTGGCCCCGTGACCTTTTATAGTTTGTAAATATTGGCGTTCTGGCAATGACCAGATTCTCCACTCACGACATGAGTGTATGTTGCTAAATCACTCTGGCTCAATCTCCACTGGGTTTAACCCCAGTTACGCCGTTGAGAGAGAAGTGTAGGGATCTCCTGGAGTCATGCTTTTCTCTCCACAGTTGAAGGGATAAGTCTGGTTTTGAGTTCTCTCTCCAGATTGTAAATATTGTATATAGGGTTGTATGTGTTCTTTTTATTTATTTATTTTAGATTATTTTATTGTATATATATTATGTTTATAATTTATTTTTTTAGTATGAATGTGATCTATCAACACTATTATAAATGTCCTTGAGACATAGGGTGTAGGCCTACTCTATGTGCCGAGGAGCATCGGTTGGAAGCGTTCCTAGCGTTAGCCTTAACCATCCTCCAACCTAACCCCCCCGGCTGTCCTAACTGTCCTTGAGACAGATTCTAATATTTTTCAATAAATAAGTTTAAAAACAAAAATAACGTTTCCTCCCGGAGAGTTTGAATAGAGTTTCCTTGATGGTTGCCGCATTTGAAAGAACTAGTATTTTAGTGTCTGGGTTACTTATTAATCACCTCATTATTCTGCTTCTCTCTAAGATTTTAAATAATGAATTTTAAGCATCATGTTCGGCCTTACAATTCGTGCATATAGAACCTATTGGAATGGCTATGTTTTAGATGGTACGAGCCATTAATTCTACGTGTATTGCTTCTCTCGCTCCCATTGATAGTGAGTGGACTCTGCTGCCAATCCATCCCTGTGTGGATCCTCCTGAAGTCCTCTCAGGGTCATCGAACATTCGTTGTTTCCAAAAAAAAAAAACCCTAATCAATTTTTTTTCCCTCAAAAATGGGCCCTGAAGTTTAATTCTTTCCACAAGCGGCCCTATTCAAGTTTCAATGTTGTTTTCATTATCACTGAAATAATCATTATATTTTCTCAAAAAAAAAACAACTTCTTAACTTATTTTTTTAAATATTGGTTTTGATATTACAATTGGAATAGAAAATATAGTTTTTTGTTTGAAGTCTAATGTATGGACACTCCTCTCTTCTGTGTATGTTAATTATATATCTGTCCAACGTTTCGGACACTTCGCCCATCTTAAGAGACATTCCTTTCACTTCTTATTGTTTTTCTCTAAGTGAAATTTAAGTTACTTAAATAACCACCAATGTGACGATGAAAATTGACCAAGCTATGCATACAATCATTAAAGGAAATATAGAAAGAAAGACAAATGTTTACCAACTTCCATTAAAACAATATGTGATAGGAGAAAATCATTAAAAACTGAAAGAAACCTCTCTGGAGATGGTCAAAGGTCCGAAACGTTGGACAGATAAATAAATAACATATTCGGAAGAGAAAATGTAGGGCAGTAATTCAATTGCAATCAACAATTACTCAATTGTTTTCGGTATAAGGCCATTTTTTTAAACCCAATATAGTTAAATTGTTTTAATTTCCCTATATGTTTTTAATGTTGGAATATATTTTTACTTTCACTTACCTATATATGTAATATACAGTATAACTTTCACTTACGTCCCAATATGTAATATAAAGTAAGGTAAGTATTGCGATCGTGAAAATTTTTGAATCTGAGTTTTCAACAGAAATACACGTTTTGAGGTTCCCTGAGTCCACATAAACAAGTCCCGAAAAATGGACAGTGTGTATGTGTGTATGTGAACACTCTAGCTCGAAACCGAAAAGTCATATGAAACTGATATTATATATTTAAAATAGTTATATGCCTTAGATGGACTGGCAACTTTTCTCTTAAAATCCGCTAACCGAAAGTGCCACTTTATATCAACGCTGAAACACATTTTTCTCAAAAACGGCTCTAACGATTTTGATTAAACTCGGTGTATCATTGTATAATTAAGTGGTCTTTAATATCATTTAGGTCTTATAGTTGATGTAACTTTACAAGGCTTAAATGCCCAACGTTCATATGCGTCTTCCTCTAAAGTACCTTTAATTTGGTTTATTATAAATAATAACTATTCTTCATTATTAAGATTTACGAAAAAATGCTAAATATAACTTTTGAAAGAATTTGATAATTAAAAAAAAGGAGAAAAAATAAATAAAAATACTTATTCAGGTCGAAAATGAATCTCCAGAAATACTGGTCAGAATATAATTTTTTATGTGTGTCCTCAGTGTTAAAAACATACAATAAAGAAAGTATTATTTTATTCGCTAAACATTGTTATTTTTGTGGTAAGTTACTGTTTAACTTCCATCGTGGAAAGCTGATTAACATACGCTGCTCGAATGTGTATATTAATTAGTCTCATTACCGCAATAATAATTCTTTTGAAATATTAATTTTTTTTTGTTCGTAATTGTGCTTTCTTTTTACTTTCACTTACGTATATATGTAATATATAGTAAGAATAAGTATTGCAATCGTGAAATTTTTTGAATCTGAGTTTTCAACGGAAATACACGTTTTGGTATGCCCTGAGTCCAAATAACCAAGTCCTAAAAAATGGTCTTTGTGTCTGTGTGTTTTTATGTTAGCAGTCTAGCTCAAAAACCAAAAATCGTACGAAAATGACATTACGTATTCAGATAAATAGATACATACCTTAAATGTGACAGTGACTTTTCCCTTAAAATCGGCTAACCGGAATTGCCACTTTATATCAACGCTTAAACACGTTTTTACAATTTTCTCAAAAACGGCTATAACAATTTTGAATAAACTCGGTGTATCATTGTATAATTAAGTTTTATTTAATATCATTTATCCCCGTTGATGTCACTTTACAGGGCTTAAATGCACAATGTTCATATGCGTCTTCTTCTAAAATACCTATAATATGGTTTATTTTAAATAATTAACTATCTCTCATTATTAAGAGTTACGAAAAAATGCTAAATATAACTTTTGAAGGAAACTGATAATTGAATAAAGGAGGAAAAAATAAAAATGCTTATCCAGGTCGAAAACCAATCTCCGGAAATACTAGTCAGAAGGTATACATATAATATATCGTTGGAAAGCAGAGAATTTTAGAAAAAACAATATCTAATCTAGAATGTACATATATATATATATATATATATATATAAAAGCATGTTTTCAAGGAAATTAAATGAAATTTTCTTACTAAATGTAAACTTTTAAAATTTTTTTAAAGTTTGAAAAAGTATTTGAAACCCACGGTTTCAAGGCAATCGCATTGTTTAAGATACTATTTCATTGTACTTGTGTGAAAGAAGAAATTAAATATAAAAATATTTCATGGATACGTTTATAACCTTAAATATATTTACTGTAGTTTAATAACTCTAGATCTGAAATAATATTTAAATAATTAGGTATATATTGACCGTTTATTCCGAAAAATCATTATGTAACATTTTAGAAAATTAAATTAGTGAATAATTTGATATTTTTTTCCTTTCCGATATTCCAACAGAATCCACTTACAATCAGTGTGCCAAATTTTGATCTGTCTATGTCAGACAATGCAAATCTCTCTATTCCGTTTTAGTAAACTTTACAATGGAAAATAACAGTTTGATAACTAATAGTCGTACAATCCATAATAAACGGATCGTGCAATCCATTATCAAGGAATCGTACAATCCATAAATTTTGTTATTTTAATAGTATTTATGATTTGTTAGCTGCAATCTTTAGCTTTAGCTCAGTTAAAAATGCAATTAAAAAATTTTATAATAGCTCAACATGGCAAGAAAATAATTTCTATTCAAATTTAATCGGTAAATGAAAGTTGTGTGTTGTTCGCACCAGATTTTTTAAGATGTAGTTGAACTGTTTATGAAAGTCACATATTATCTTTAACATTCTTTCTATCTTAGTTTTAAAATTTTGATAGGGTAGGCTTCTTATGTATCTTAGTTTCTTAAATTCTAACAGTTTACGAAAGTATTGTTTTGTTTTCTGAGATCTTTTGAACGTTCTATTTTTTTACCTTAACTGGATTACTGGTGAACGGGAGAGAGTAATCAAATGAAGATGGAAAGACAAAGAGGGAAGGTATGAGTAGAACAATATAGATATCTCAATAATTTTAATAAGGTCACAAAAAAATTCACACATTAATACATTACTATGATTTTTATGTTATTTAAAACCGAAAATCAAAATCCACATAAAATCTTTAATTTTGTATACTAAGTACAAACATTTTATATACCTTCCTTGTGAATACAGAACTTACCAATTCTCATAGGAAGGAAGCAAAACACAATTTTTATTTTGTTTGGTTAATTTAACTTTATACAAATGAAATATGGAAGTGAAGAAAAGACTGCTTTTTACTAAAATTTAGTTTTAATAAAATGACAAATGTATATAGCCTGTCTATAATCATTGAAACATGGAATCCCAATGACAATTTAGAAGTGTACTGATTTGGGTAGTTCAATATAGCACGGATCAATTCATTACCCTAGTTTTAGGCAGAGGGCTTCAAAATAATAAATAAATTTTATTTCATCATTCAGAACAACGATTTCCTCCCTCCAGAAAATGTTTCATATAAACAATATATTCATTTCCGACAAAGAAATCCTCTGATAAAGTATTTGTTTGTACCATGTCATCTCCAGATATTTTAAAAGGTATTAAAATTTTAACCAAAACATGTCCTTTACTATATTTCAAATACAAATCAATTCATCTATATTGAAATAAGACACCAAGATGTGCTACATATAAGGATTTTTTTAAACCTCAAAGATACAACCCAGCAACACAATATCATATGGTTACTCACCAGCTCGTAGCCCTAGGATCCCTGCAGAAACCGTAGGCCAACAAAATAATCCGAACCAGAAGACGATCATGTTGAGACTGCTCAACCTCTAGTCCCCACTAACTGACTTCAAACTGGTTTTCCTTCAAAGATAATAGACGCTCCAAGCCTATCCTCAATCTTTTATTTTTATCCCCTGCGAAGTATTATAACACACAAAATAGATGCCAGCAGACCGTTACTTTCACGCAATACTGAACTTCCGCTCCTTAAGACATTACACGGTGGGCCAGACCCCCCAAACGTGCACTCTCCCTCCCCCCCCAAATCCCTATAAATTGTATATCGTTGTGTTCCTTATAACTATTTATTTTAAAAAATCCAATGTTCCTACAAAAAAAAGTGAACGCACTGATCCAAAATGGCGTCCAATCATGGAGGACTGACGACTTTGACTTCAGTTAGTTCCGCTCCTTAAGACATGTTTTAATGATTATAAGAAACTTATTTTTTTTTTTTAGAAAACAATATCAATATAACTGTGGGCGGGGTAGCCGAATGGGCTAACGCGTTGTGCACAGCACCACCGTTGCCCGGCAACCTGATGTATGATAATTGTGTTATAAAAACAGTCACGAGTTCACGTCCCGGTGCCAACGCGTCTTTTAAATCCCCGCCCACACTCCCTGGCCCGGGAAAACCCCCGTATAGCCTTGACGGCGAGGAAGGGGAGGACCCAAAAAAAAAAAAAAGAAAATCAAATTTATCCTCTTATAGTTAATTAAATACCTAATTGAAGTAGATCTACCAACTTATCAACCATTATCTTAAATTTTTAATTATTTTTCCATAATTTAAACCTTCAGAAGGTGTTATTTACTTTCCTACCTATACTAGGTAAGGAAAGGATTGCAATCGGGTCAATTTCCGACATGCGGTTTTAGACGGATCTATACGTTTCAGAGCCCGAAAAACACGCCGTTTAGCCTGTTGTTTATAAGGTAATGAAATTCCCTGCAAAGCCATATAAAAATCGTTCATTTTGTACAACTATGAACGAAGTTACAGCTATTCAATTTCCAATGTAACATTACGGTTACATATCCTAGTGTCAGAGAGGGTGAATGAGAGAATAAAGATGACTAAGTGAAAATAAGAAAATATTTAGCCCGCATCACACAACCTTCAGTATTTCCTGTACTTTTAACAGAAATTATTTTTTGTCAATACTAAGCTATGCCAAAAAGTTTTTTATCAGCAATATTAGGAAGTATTGAAATTTTTGCACTGATCTACCTTAAGTCGGTTTACATTGCTTTAGTTTATCAAATAAATCGTACTCAAATCTTATGTATGAACAATTTTCAGGAAAATGTATCTAATTCAATTCTTTTTTGTTTTTTCATGAACACATGTAAGGATACAAAAACTTTTCTGAAATAGATAGAAAAGTCGTGTGAGTGAACACACCAGATTTTCCAAATACTTCTTGCAATACATTACTCCCCTTCAGTTCTCTGATAATTTAAAAACTTGTCTTAAGTTTTCCAGCAAGGTCAGGATTGCGGAAAAAGTTTCTGTTGAAGTTAAAGTTGAAGAAATGGTGTTTATAGTGGGTACTTCCATCATGTTTTCCTGGGCAGACTAGCGCATTTAAATAGAAAAATTAACCTAAATTCCGCATCTTTCATATATGAATCATAATAGATTTTAAAGTGCGAATCTCAAACAAATATTAATATTTTTCAATTGTTTCATCGGTCAAAAAATTCTCAGGAAAGACGAACTATTTTATCTTTTCTCCGAATATTGCCTACCGCCGATATAATAAACATGATTTTTCAATTTTATTTCAATGGTCTTAAAGATTTGTTGGCTTTAAGCTTTAAGTTTTAAAAAATGCACTTCAGAAATTTCGTAAGAGACCAACATTGCCAGAAAATAATTTCTATGAGGTAAGTAAGTAAATTAGTCCTATTCGGTAAGTAGAGCGGTAAGTGAAAGTTGTACGATCCGCGCGCGCACCAGATTTTTTAGCTTCTTTTTATTGTTTATTTTCTATACTCAATAAAATGCAATATATATATATATATATATATATGTATATATATATATATATATATATATATATATATATATATATATATATATACAAATAAAAGGATTTTATTAACTATTCAGATTATTTTTCATGCGTCAATATCCGACTAGGAGCGAAGATTGGACGGGGTGTGCCTCCTATATCTTTGCGACGAGATGGCCGGCAAGCCTCAACAGTGTCCCGGTTGTCTGAGGAACCATGGAGACGAGACAGTGCAAACAAAGCATCTCGGTCAAAGGACTGGCTAGCTCTGTTAGGAGCTGCCTAGAGCCGAGGCAACCTTTTACAATCATTGATTTCCTTCTATGAAATTGTTCTCTTCAATAATTTAAATCAAAGAATCAAAATTTTATCTGATATTTCGATTAAAATGTTTAATAGTTTGTAGGGTTTCACGCTTTCCTCAATGCTTAACATCTCTTTGTCAAAAATTGGAGAAAGAGGTTTGTATTTGCTCTACCACGCTCATATTATTCGCAAACATGCACAGTTTTTAAAGCCTCATTTTTGTTTCGCTCATCTACAAATCAGAAAAATTAATTTTAACATTTACCTCTTTTAGCATACGTTTGAACAATAGGAAAATAGTTTGAACAGTAAAAACCTGAATTAATTGATGATACCAGCTAATATAACTGCTTGATTGTGTATAACTGTTCATTACAATGAATTATTGATCATTTCTGTATAGGGTTAATATATATCAAATTAAATGAAATATAAGGGCATATTAAATATATAAAAACTTTCGGTATAACAAAATATATATTTGTTTTAATTCTAAAGAACATTTGTAGAGTTTTAAAAATTTCACTCTGAAACATCTTTAAAAGCTACTTCTTCTATCCAAGGTATGTAGTTGGATACCCTGGTGTACACTCCTGGAGCATCTCGCTTCCCGCCACATCCTTTCTTTCCAAAAGACGTTATTCCAATCTGAATATCGAGATGCGGATATTCAGCGCTTCGTGTTACCAATGGACCGCCAGAATCACCCTTAAAAATTACAGTTTACATTACTATTAATTGTACCTTGTGAATTCAACCTATATTAAAAATACAAGCATGCTTAAGACTTTGTTAAAGAATTATTAGAGTAAACCTAGGGATTACCCAATCGTCCAATAAAAAAAGACGAAACGTCAGAAATCGTTCATCCCCCTCCCCATAATAATTGGTAAAAAGTCCCAAATTTTCCTTAGTCCCGTTTTGATGGGAAGAGGGGAGAACTGAATACTGATACTTTATTTTTACAATCTACTTTCTATTTCTATCTCTATTTATAATCCTTGATGTTTTTTAATAAAATAAATGGTTTCGGAGATAGTTAAGAGATTATATTTAAAGAATTTCCAATTCCAAGTAATTCAATCCAAATCATGAATTTGATGTTGTTCATAGTCGATTATATCGTTGTGAAGTTGAATTTCCGTTAATACTATTGACTATTTAAAATAGTTGAGGTTTTTGACTTAGGTGCTTGGAGTGACAGAATATTGAATCACATAATCTTTTTACTTAATCTAATTATAGTTTAATAAAAATCGTTAGAGCCGTTTTTGAGAAAATTGTAAAAACGTGTTTAAGCGTTGATATAAAGTGGCACTTCCGGTTAGCCGATTTTAAGGGAAAAGTCGCTCTCACATTAAAGGTATATGTCTATCTTGAATACGTGATGTCAGTTTCCTGCGATTTTTCGTTTTTGAGGTAGACTGCTAACAAGCAAACACACAGACGCAAGGACCATTTTTCGGGACATGGTTATTTGAACGCAAGCAACCCCAAAACGTGTATTTCCGATGAAAACTCAGATTCAAAAATTTTCACGATCGCAATACTTAGCCTTACTATGTATTACATATATACGTAAGTGAAAGTAAAAAGAAAGCGCAATTGCTTTACATGAAGAGAAAATCGTGAACTTACAAACAAAAATTAATTAAAATTTCAAAAGAATTATTATTGCGGTAATGAGACTAATTAATATACACATTCGAGCAGCGTATATTAATCAGCATTCCACGATGGAAGTTGAACAGTTACTTACCACAAAAAAATAATGTTTAGCGAATAAAATAATACTTTTTTTTATTAGATGTTTTTAATACTGATAAGACGGCACACAAAAAAAATTATATTGATAGAACACTCCTATAGAAGGGATATAATAATAAATATATACAATATTGTTTTCCAGAAATTATTGTTTATAATCAATTTGTCACCCTTGATTATATTCATTAACTTTATAAGTTAGATATTATTTTTTCTACACCATCAACTTTCTAACGATGTATATATATATATACCCCCTATTATTTTCCTAAAAACATTGTAACCTAAAAATTGTTTTCATTTTTTTCCTGCTTTAGTTAATAATCAGATTCTTTCTGCCATTTTTTATTGCTACTGACAATGAGAAATAGAAAATTATTTGTAATAAACCAGGTTAAAGGTAATTTAGAGGAAAATATTTTCAACACTAATCAATTAAATCCTATTCGGCATAAATGAGAGTAAGATCTAGCTGATGTTTGGGTTTCGAGTTTTTTCCCCATAGTTTTATTGTAGTCAATTCATTTTCGAAAAGAGAAGGTCACTACTTGCCTGGCATGTATCTGTTCCATTTTCAGGATCTCCGGCGCAGAACATGTAGTCAGACTGATAGCCTCTTGGCATCCTGATGGCCTCTTTTTTACATTCCACACATTCAAACATAAGCTTGTTACATTCAGTATCATTGTATATGTTTACTTCTGCTTCAAGTAGATGATTATTCATATGTTGAGCTACAAAATTGATGAGGCAGTCATAAATCATATTTAAATATAGAAAATAATTTAAAAAAAAATGGTTCCGCATATGTCTTTTTACTAAAATTAATTATCTAAGCCCGTAGAGATTAAGGCTAGATTTATGGGGGACTAATTCCTGAAGTTCTTTACTAAAGAGCTTAAAAGAGGTTATCGAAAAAGTCAAGAATCGGAAGTAGGCTAATTGGTCTATTGGATGTCAAGCTGTTGGGAAGTTTGCTTGGTTATCGTAAAAGGATAATAGTGGAATATTTTCATAATAGAGGAAAGGTAGTACATAGGATGTAATTGTGGATATATATGAGGAATTTAACTGCTTTCTATGGAAGTCCTCGAAAGATATGAGGGATAAGGATTTTGTAACCGAGAGATATATGGAGAAGGGGGGGGGAGATTTATTTTTGTAAATGAAATTTGTAAAGATGGTAAGGAGGTAAATAAAGAGGCAAGGAAATGGGATAAGTGGTGTAAGGAATTTCTCTACTGTTAGGGTGTTGGTGGAATGTGATTACAGATGAAGAATAAATAAATTAGAGAGATGTCAGGTGAACTCCAAGGCTTCATCTTCGTCAGATGCCTAGGAGCCGTTATCTCGCTGGAGAGGATGGGAAACTTTATGAGGTTTTAGAATTGCTCAGTGGTTTTCCAAAGGGAATTTTCACGAGCAGGTATGAGTTAAAGAGTTATCAGATCTAAGAGGTATTGAGATAAATTAGTTTAACAAATTTAAATAAAACGACTATAAGCAAATGTCAACTTAATTTTTGAGATAAATTTGTATTAATACCAATACTGAAGTTGAAACTTACAGGAACCAGTCCTTCCCCAACCGGCAATGTTAGCCTTATTCTGTTTTATATCCCTTTCAGTTTGGAGGCATACAGGTAATACATCGCAATTGAATTCAACCTCACTTTCCAGTTTAAAGAGTACAATGTCATGATATAGTTGGGTGCTTTGGTATTGCGGGTAAAACATCATACGTTCGATCCTCTTGTTCACTGTGCTTTTTGTAGAATCATTGATTTTCAAATTTCCTAGTCTGGCCCATTTGGCAGAGTCACTTTAACAGAAATAAAAGTATGAATAGCAGACAAATGAAATAAATTAGACAACCTTGAGGTCCGAGTAACATAGAATGAGATTAGCTCACAAAAGCATATACATATAAAATAAAATAAACTTTATTCTGGGACGATGTTCCCTTAGAATAAAATTGTATCTGTTTTTTATATTAATATTATTTATATATGTTACTTAGGAACTTAGAATAATATCCCGCAATAAAAATTGAGGCATGTAAAAAATGAAATACATTAAAAAACGCTGCAAATTATTCCACAATGGTTTATTATTTCCAGACAATTATACATTTAAAGTAACATTACCTTCATAGTTACAAAGAAAAATAAATAAAAGGTGATTCCAATTATTGCACTAAACGTTTTTTTTTTTTAATTATCGCTTTAATATGCTAAAAAAAATAGCATTACATCAGTAACACATTCAAAATTTTAAAAAACAAACAAAGGATATAACATTTGGTGTAGAATATATTAAAAAAACGGAGACTATATCTTTGCTCCCATTTGTCCGGCTTTAACGATTATTTTTTTTAGGTTTTCAGGAAATTTCGTAAACTTGTAAAAAAAAAAACTATATACAATATTAAAAAAAAGTATAAACTTTTCGAGTTATTCGGAATTTAATTTTACCATCCCTCGTAACTTCTTTTCCAGCTTCTTTTCGTTGAAGTATGTTACATAGATAAATTTAAAGGGCGTCGAGAAAATGACTTTAGCGAAGTCATTGAAATCTGTACATTCGTTTAATAGCTACAGTCTATAGCAACGCAGGTTTTTCGGCCGCCATTTTGAAAGTAAAAGGCGGATAGTAATGTCGATGAAGGAGGATCATTTTCGCGTGACCTCTGATTTTGTATCAAAATTTGAAAAAAAAAATCGGTCCAGCAGTTTCAGAGAAAATGCGCGGACGGCGGACGGACAAAAAAATTTTTATTCGTTTTTCGAATTCTACGCGTAATGAAAAGTGAAATATCAAATTTTGAGAGGGGGTTAAGTTTTTGAATTTGTTGGTCGATCACAATGGTTGATTTTTAAAAATAATAAACCAATATATTCAATCTTTTTTCAATATCAATCTTTTTTTTATGCATCACAGTATTATGCCAAGTGATACTGAATCTATTACTGAACCTTTCCGATTCATAAATAGTAAACGAAAAATAAAATAAAATAATGGTGTGAATAATGAATGATGAAAAGAAAAAGAATACAATATCCTTGTTACATAATAGATAAGTAATGGATAAGAATAGTGCATGGCGGATTTGAAGTGGGATGGAATTACAAAAGATGGTGGGGTGGACAATAAAGGAATGTTGAAATGAAGCAGATCTGTGGAAAGGAGTTTAAAGGTCAGAAGGTCTAGATCTTGTGGAGAGGTAGTGAGTGGATGGATGATTTAAATTGGAGGAGATTGTATACATAGGGGCGATGATTGTTGAATATTCAGTAAAGGAATGTGCTAAGGAAGTATTGTCTTCTGAAGTAGGGGAAGGGATACCCTAATTGGGCATATTAGTGAGAAACCCGTTAACGTCTCGGGATCCCTAGAACAAATCTTACTAAGCTATTCATATTTCTTTTTAGCCTGTCCCCGACTTCTACCGTACATCACGCAGCAGTAGTCAAGGTGGGGGAAGATGAGAGAGGATACTAGGAGTCTATGTGTGGGTATAGATACGAAATTCCGGAAGCGATGGAATAGTTTAAGGATATGAACGTCGATTGATTTGGCCAATATGATGATTCCAGGAGAGGATTTAGTCAACGAAAATGCCTAGGTTTTTAACTGAGGAACTGAAGGTAATGGGATGGTTATTTAGGCACAGGTGGTTTTGAATATGAGGAGGGGTTTGGAACCAATGATAATGGCCTGAGTTTAATCTTAATTTTAATCAGTGTTTAATCTTAATTTACTTATGTATGCACAGGCGCTGATGGGATTTAGATCTTTTAAGATTTTGGCAAACGCATCATACAACTCAGAGGGAGGGAAGGAAAGGTAAATACGGGAATCAACGTCATAGAGGTGATAGAAACAGTGGAGGATTTTTTTGGAGGTCGTTGATATAGGAACTATAAAGAAGAGGATATATGATAGCGCCCGGGGCCTCTTCTGAGGATAGAGTAAGATAGGAAGACAAGGGTTGATTAGGGATACCAACAGTTTATTAACGCTAAGAGAGGAAAGACTAAAACCAAAGAATAGCGCTCTTGGGAAAGGATAATGATTTTAATTTAGAAAGAGGGAGAAATGGTTAATGTGTCACTGAATATCACTAATGATTTTAATTATGGTGGGTTGTGTGGAGTAATCTCGTCGAAAATCAGAATGGAAAGGATCAACTTGATTCGACTGTACAAGAAAATTAAAAACTTGGGATTACTATTTTTTCCAGGGTTTATAAAAATGTTGGAAAGGATTGAAATTGGACTCAAATCTTTGGGAATGAAGGGTTAGAATTTTCATTTAAAGGACGAACGGTGGCTTTCTTCCATGAGTTAGGCAATGCTGAGTTTTTGGAGAGAGTAATTATATACGAAAAGAAGAACAGGAAGGATTTCGGGAAGGCATAGTTTGATTAATTTGGCCGAAATGCCATCTGGACCAATAGAATTGGACTGGGATATCATCACGGCGGATATGAGGCAAGATGGATGAATGACGAAAGCAGTAAAAGGAGGAGTGGTACAGGAAGAAGATATAAAATATGAGTTTAAATCATCTGGTAAAACTGGAAATACTGATGAGGGAGGGAATCTATGAGATTCATAGAGGGGGAGTTTACAAAGGAGTAGGAATTTGGATTTGGAATAGGGAGCTGATGAGATTAATGGAAATAGGTCGATTTGGCTCGTTGAATAGTGTTTTTTTTTCAGGTTGCAGAGCACCCTAAGCGCCTAATAGTCGTCGGCCAGTCTAGTGCGTCTAAAGCGTCTATCGGCAGCATCATGCCTTTTCTAGAGATTCTTAATTTACTGACACATCAAGGCAGCCGGAAGGCGATGAATGGTAGAGGTTTTAAGAGGGGTGTGTGCTTCAAGGATATTAGGAAAATTGGAAGTGAGGTATCCACCATGGCATCAATTGTGAAAAAGGAATATAATCTATTCCAATCTACGGCTTCCAGGCTGGGTAAGATTTTTTCTCGAGTTAGGCCATCAAGGTTAAGGAATGTTATGGTTCTAGGTAGGATAGGAGGAGTTTGGGTATTATATAATTGGGTGTGATATTTGGATTAGATCATGCGAAGATAAGAATGAGACTCGTAATTGGGATGAGGAAAGGAGGTTCTGAGTGGAGTCAATAATGTAGAGGTCCTACTAAGAGTCGCACCTGGCAGTGTGATGAGTAGTACAAAAAGTAACGATGAAAAGTTGAAGAGAGAAAAAAAGTTTATTGCTGGAACCGGAAAGGAAATTAGTGTTTAAGTCACCGGAAATGATAATTTTGGAATAAAGAGGAATAAAGTTGAAGAGGGATGATTCAAAAGATGGATCAAATGGAACAAGAGGAGGACAATATACACTGACAGGAAAAAATTCCACCCACTTGTAAAAAAAGTTGTATTTGTATATAATACATGGTATTTGTAGATAATACTTAGTATTTATGGAATTTTATAATCTTTTCTACCTTTAATAATCAAAATGTAATTGGGTAAGAACGATAAGAGAAAAAAAAATGAGAAACGAACCATTATTATTCTAAAAGAAATTAATTACATCATCGTTTAGTAGCGCATTTCCTCCTCTTGCCTTCACTACTTCTTGAAGACGTCTCGGCATACTTTCCACCAGTCGGGAAATGTCCGTTTGCTGGAGGATAGCCCATTCCTCCCGAAGGGCCCTTTCAAGGTCCTGTAGTGTATCAGGAAGTGTTGCTCGCGCTCTTATTCGTCTTCCGAGTTTATCCCATAAATTCGCAATGGGGTTCAAATCTGGAGAACGTACTGGCCAGGCTAAAACCTCAACATTTTTCTGTTGAAGGAACGTTTACACATGTGGGCGTGCATTAGAATAGAACGATCACCAATTTTGTTGAGGATAGGCAACACATGAAGTTCCAAAATATCATCTGCAGAGCGAATGGTTGTCAAAGACCCTCTACGAACAACAACCAATTCTGTGCGGCGCTCCATTGAAATACCAGCCCACACGATTCAGGAACCACGTTGGAAAGGTTGGCTCTGGGAAAAATTACAGGCTGCATCTTTCGTTTCTTCTTCTCCACACCCTTTCACCCCCGTCTGGAGATCGAAGAGCGAATCTTGACTCATCTGCAAAAAGTACAGTAAAAAAATCCAGCCGTGTTACTCTGTGAGTTCTGGTCAACTCTGGTCCTCTTACTGGACGAAAAGCCATTAATCCATACTCATTTAATCTTCTCCGAGTGGTACGTTCAGAAATTTGCACTCCTCGAACTTCTTCGAGCTGATGAATCGCTTGAACAACGGTAAGGTGCCGATTTCGTAAAATTCTCAAAGTCAAAAACCGGTCATCCCATAGTTCTGTTGTCATAGGCCGTCCAGAACAGCGCCTTGTATTGTAAGAACCAGTTTCCCGAAAAAGCCTGACGGTGTCTCGTAAAGTTTCATATGGAACTCCTATGGCATTAGCTGCATATCTAATGGGACTTCCATCATCAATAAGTGCCACACTAAGCGCAACATCCTCAGCACCAAGAGGCATTTTTAAACTTAATATTGAAAAAATTAAAAGCCGGAGACTACGAAATGTGCTGCAATAAACGGCACTGAACTAATGATCCTGAATAAATATTTTGATTACATAGAAAGTAAACTTTGGAATCTATAATCATTTCATTGAATTAGGGTTAAGGGTTATTGTCCTCTATATTAACATACCCAATTGAAACTAACAAAAAGATTACCTATTTATTAATTAAAAACAATAGACCAATCCAAAGCAGAAATATTTTTAGATGAAAACATGAAAAAATCAAGTGGGTGAAATTTTTTGCTTGTCAGTGTATATGTATATATATATATATATATATATATATATATATATACATACACACATATAAACACTTTTTTTTATAATTAACAAAGTGAAGATTTTTACATGCTCATTGACAATCATTTACCTCTATTGAATGTTTATTGTATTATCGGTATTCTGTATAGTTATATGCAAGTGATGCTTTCTTTGTTTATAAATACGAAATAAAAAAACCGTCTATCACATAGATTATTAAATAAATTATATATTACAGTTTATCATCAGATAAAAAAGACACTTACTATGGAGTAACAGCACAGTGAGCCGCACACAAAACATACCACGGGGTTATGAGAGATCCACCACATTTCCATTTCGCCTCACTAATATCACAACGCTCTTTCTCATTATCACAAAACCCAATCAAAGTCTGCAAAGTTAAAAAATTGCTTAGGAAATACACTATAATATATATATATATATATATATATATATATATATTGGAAGTTTTATTAAATTAATTGAGATGAAATTTATTTAAAATATATATAGACTAGAAAAAAATATTCAACCACATTATATTGGTTAGAGGAAAAAGCATTTTCGTTTTATTCCAATAGACCACTTTAAAGTCTCTTATTTCTTGTAATCCTTATTCAATAAAGCCATTCTATAATGCATTTAAAAGGTCATAGTCCATAGAACATTCTATGTATAAAAATAGCACCATTCATTGACTTCGTCAATAATTATTGCGCTTTAAAGATGCAGTTTTCAGAAGTTCTATTTCATCATATTTTGTTGTTTTAATTGCAAAAAGGGCCTCATTGAAAATGGTGCTCTGCTTTAGGTGACGGTTGCTCAAAGGGCGACAATTTCAGAATTGGTTTGCTCTTTTTCGTTCTGGAAATGATGATGTCAAAGATGAATCTTGCCCTAGCTGACCAATCGTTAAAAATTCAATGAAATTCTTTAAAAACTCGAGGTAGACATATTTTATCTCGCGATATATCTACGGAACTAAACAGAGATCAGAAAATCAGTTTTGAACCATTTACATAAGGCTAGATACCAAAAGAAGCTCGATACTTGGGTTCCACATGAACTGACAGTGGCAAATGGATCTACAAATTTAATGAGGTGAGTCTCCATTTGGGAATCGTTCCTGAAACGACACGAAATCGAGCCATTTTTGAAACAAACGATTACTAGTGATGAAAAGTAGATCTCGTACGACGATAATGTGAGAAAAAGATCGTGGTCAAAACCCGCAGAAGCTTCACATACAGGAAAAAAGCCCGAACCGGGCAAAAAACATTAATTCTACTCTCAACTGCGATCGAATAGTACGATTGAAGCAAGCGATTTCATAAAATTGATCAATTAGAAAGGAGTTGTCTTCCATCACGACACTAGACCACACGCATATCTTTAAAGACTCAACAGAGATTGTGAGAGCGTGGCTACAAAAGTTTTGAAGCACCCACCGTATTTTCCCGATCTTGCATCGTCTACCATTCGTTTCGGTCTCTACAGAACTCTCTTAATGTTGTAAATCTGCCATAAAAATAGAGGATTGTGAAAATCACTTGGTTCAGTTTTTTATCCATAAATCTTAAAACTTTTACAGTGACGAACTCTTATGATGTTATCAAAAAAGTGGCAAAAGGTCATTAATCAAAACTGCACAAATATCATTGGTTAGTTCTTAAAATCTATATAAATAAATTAATAATAAATTTAATAAACATAAAAGAAAAAAACCAAATGACTTTTTCCTCAACCTAATATAAATAGAAACATAAGACAATAGTACAGTAAACGATGGAGTATTAATTTTAAATGTATATTCCTATATTTTATTTCAGTCACATTCTATATGACCACATGTTTGTGTGAAAATGGTTCAAATTTCCCTCGTTAAGGTGGGGACAGATGAGAAGATCTAAAAATTAATACTTAATCCGCCCGAGCTGCCGGTTTCTCGCCCCAGACCAGCTCAGAAAGTCCCCGGTTCAGATCAGCATAGACAGTCACACTCGGCAGATGCTCCAGATGCTCCGAGGGCTCCCTCAAGGTAAAAAAAAGGATGTTTTAAGCCGACATAAAGATGGTAAGCTATTTTTGCACAATCAGTATAACCTACCAATCCATTAAAATACAGTCCACTGCATGAAAGTAGAATGTTACCCAATATAATTTGAATGTTTCCTATTGGGAAATCATGGGAGTTATTCGCCTTGCCTTAATTAAAATTTGGAAAGTTGCCTAAACAGCACATTTCAGGCAAACGAAATAAATTACAATCCACTCAGGCCGGAATGCCGGTGCCGCTAGACACGAAAATGGCGGCTATCACGACCTCATCAAGTATTTTAATGAGATATTAAGAGAGATCGCGATCTGAAAAAGTATGAGAAATGATCTCGAAGCGTTGTTTTCGCTATTTCAAAAGCAGAACAAGATTACCATTTTCTTTCTGATTTCCACAATGTTATAAAATTTACCATAAAATAAGGATTGACAATTGTAAAAAGGGTCTGTCTTGTGATGCGTTTATCGATTTTTTTTTCATTTGTATATCGACATTAGCTTTAAGTATCCTCATTAAATAGTTTAAGATGTACAGCTTACCATGTCTGTACATTTGGGTTGTGACAGTAATAAAAGAAAACACGAGAAAAGGTGAGAAAAAATGTTTATGGGGAGGGATGGTATCAGATAATTACAATTTTTACTAAACCATGAATCTTAAATATATTTACAAAACAATAGATCATGAAAAAAATTAACTAGTTAGTTGTGATTTGAACCAATTATTCTCCAATAATATAAATATCACAGACATTTTGAAATGACTCATAAACCGAGGATAGGTTAGATTAAATTTAAAAGTTTTGTGGAAGTAAATGGAAGTGGTCAAATTTTTGTATTTCATTTTTTTAAAATACTTGTTTAATGATTTCTGTAGGATACCCATTATTTATTGCAATTTGAAAAATTATAGACTTTTCTTTTTTTATTTTTGTGGATCGATAAAGGTATTTTTTTTGTATTCTATTTGCCAGCCTGTAAAAAGTGCTGAGATGAGTAATTAGTCGACTGATCGATTATTAGTATGAAACAAAATTGTGAGCATTTACAGTCAAGAATTTTTGTTAGGTTATTCGACATCCATACATACCATATCCTTTCTAAAAAAAATCCTTTTTTTCCGCTTTTATTATCATATGCCTTGTTTTCAAAAACAATCAAAACAACAGCAACAACAAAAATTCAAAACCTTATACAGCAACCCAAAAGATCCCATGCCTCTCCTACAAAAATCCAATCTAGTTTACCGTATCCCTTACTCTACTTCCAATTGTAATTCCTGTTACATTGGCGAAACCAAAATTGACCTTAAAATAACGTCTAACGCAACATAAATATAGTATTTTCAATCCGGAACAGATTTGCATCCAAGTTGTCTAAACTTGCCATATCGCTAGACCATTTCTTTGATTTCAAGAACCCATCCGTCTTCGCAACGGTTGCCAATGATGGAAAACGAATCCGTATCGAATCTATATCTATCTACCTTGAAAAAACAACCACGTTAACCATAAGTTCATCAACCTACTCCAACATCTTCCGCCTTTTATAACTATAACGTTTAATTTTAACTCGTTTTTATTTCCATTATTATTTCTGTAGATTAACAGATACCATCAACCTTTTTTATACAGATACCATGTTTATTTATTTATTAATTTATTTACATCTTTTAAGATTTTTACATCTATCAGTAATGTATTAGTTGTTATGTATATTCCAGTTTTTACATTATTTATAAGTTTTAGTTTATATACCAGCTGTATCCATCCTTACCTGACTATATATTTTTAATGTTTACTATGTGCTAACATATTCATTGTGTTTTGACATACTTATAATATTTCAGTTAAATAGCCGTTAAAAGACCGTTACCATACTGCATTCCTTTTATTTTTTTTTCTCTTTTTGTTACCGCCCCCCAAACTGATTTTTACAAACCGTTAGTTCTTGTCTCGACTCTCAAAAGATAGACGACAATTAAGAAACTAATTACATTTATTAACCTCTGGTGATATATGCATATATATATATATATACATATATGGGACCGGTGTAGCAGAGTAGTTAGCGTTTGCAATACTAGCAAAGCAAATATCATAGAATCGAATCGAGTGATGTTGTTCTTTACTTTTATTACTAATTTCTTACTTATTTAATCTTATTACTATCATCTCATTACTGTTATTCTGTACTTGTTTGTATTATTCTTACAATTTTATGCTTATTTTACTGATGTTATTTTATATTTTGTAATTTTTAGCGCTGAAAATGACCCACACGTTTGGGTCGAAACTAACCTAATAAAAATTCTTGACTGTAGATCCTGACAATTTCGTTTCATCCTAAAAAGTGCTGAGTTTTTTGGACCAAGGGTGGCAGGAGTCAAATGGAATTATTACGTTTGTGATGGCCGGTTTTCTGCGAATGTCAAATATTAATGAATTATTTTTAATTGAAATGGTCAAGTTGAGGAATTAGTTTTATTTGAACCTATTTCTATTGTAAATTGTATATTATTATTAATTTCTGTAACAAATTTCTTTAATTCGCCTATAATCCTTTCTCATATACAAAAAACACCGTCAACATACCGGGACCAGTGTCCAACATATGCTTTAATATCTTTTAAAGAGAATATAGTTTTTTCGAAAATGTCCATAAACATTTCAGCACTCAGTGGTGATAAGGAAAAGCCCATAGCGTCCATTTTCCAAAATAGATTATTAAAATAAAATAAAAAATTATTTAAACTACAACGAAGGAAGGGTGGCTTTATATACCTTCAAAAGTATAGTAAAACAAAATTTTTTTGTTTATTATAAAATTATCTCTAATCATATAAAAATATAAAACGAAATATTGGTAATAAACTAGGAAATAAATAATTTAGTTATTTTTGAGGAAAACTTACCATATAGGGATATTTGCTCCTAATTTTGACAGGAAATGCATTAGACTAAAAATAATAATAAAACATCATAGGAAAAATAATTCATTTTTATATTATTTAGCATTAAATTACAGCTATTATATCACTATTACTAATGTCCTTGGATGTGACATAATGTAATACATCTCAATTAAGATTTGAATTTAAAAACATTGTATTATTTAAATACATGTATTATAGATAATCCTTAATCCTTTCTCAATAGCCCTAGCTTTAAAGAATCCTCATTAAATAGTTCAAGATATACAGCTTACTACTCTCTGTTGTGACAGTAATAAAAGAAAACATGGAAAATATGAGAAAGCATCTTTTTCTACGAAGAAGGAGAGGAGGGGGAAGTAAAATATTTAAAATTTGTACTAAACAATGAATGCTAAATATATTAACAAAAAGATAGATCATTAGAAAAAAAAAATGGTGCGCGCAACACACAACATTCACAACAATACTTCGAAAAGCAATTCCTGTCTGGCAAAATTGGGCTATTACAGTAAGTTTTTAAAGCGCATTTTGAATAGGACAAAACCTTGAACAATATACTTTTGAATTTCGGGCATATTCATCAATACAATAACAAATTGATACCAAAATAACATAAACAGTATTTATGTTATTTTGGGTTTAAGTTATTCCTTTTCGATCGGATTCAAGCAGTCAGCATTCCGAACAACACCTATCTTCCTTCCTTACACTGTCCTTTGGAGTAGGCCAGGGTTCGAGCATTTCCACTCTCCTTTTTAATTCCTATATGAATGATCTTCCCAAATCCATCTACCACTGTTCACACCATATATACGCTGAAGACCCCCATATCTATTTATTCATTCACCGTTCTGAGCTATTAATCACATTCGCCAACATTCAGGCTGACTTAGATAGCAATAATTTAAAGCTAAACGCGATAAAAACTCAGGTAATTTTTATAGGTTCCAGTTCTCTTCTTAAATCCATTTCCTTCCTTCCTCCTTTATTCATCAACGATCATCCCATCACATTTATTCCCTCCGTTAAAAATCTAGGAATCACCATTGACGAAAACTTCTCCTGGAAATTCCATACCGCCATCGTCTCCCGAAAGTCAATAGGTACCCTAAAGTTATTTAAAGGCTCCCGTCACCTACTCCCACAACCTATTCGCAAACTCCTTGTTTCCTATCTTATTTTTCCCCACTTTAACCACGGATGAGTGATGTATAGAGGCATTCCGATGGTACTCGAGGATAGATTGAAGCGACTTAAGAGCTCCTGCTTAAGATTTGTCCTCGGTACTTTGAGGAGGAGCCTCTTACCTTCTTCCCGCCGACAATAGATTTTTCTTGGATTTTACCTATTGCAAACGATCAACAACCGTCACCCTTCCTACAGTTACAGTCTTCTAAAGGTCAAACGCTTGGTTTACACACAGAAAACAAGTTCCCATGTTTCCGACCTTTATACTCCTTCCAATAGAACTAAGACATTTGAAATTTCCATTATTGCCCGATACACTGCCTTCCCGAATTTCTTGCCATCTGGTATCTCCCATGCCTCTTCCTTGTCCTTATTCAAATATCATCTCCACCAATAACTCCTTACATTCCAAAATGACGTTGTACAATGAAATAAATATTATGAATCAAATTGTGACTGAGGTAAATGGGTGTTGAAATTGTTTTAGTTTTAATTTTAAGTAAAGTTTGGACTTGTTTGGCACCCGGGTCTTGTTTTGAACGTAAGACTACGCTTCGTTACACGTACTATCTTATCCTTCAATCTTTCCTCTTCGACAGATTTTTCTCAGTTCGGCAGGGCTTGGAAAAGCCTTCAGTTCATCCAATCTTGGCAGGAGTTCCCCAAGGTTCAATACTGACCCCTCTGCTTTAATTGTATACACTTACGATATACCTATTAAGGATGAGACATTTACACCTACCTATGTAGATGACGCAAAATTCTGACAAAACATCAAGAACCTATAAGTCTCACTAACTCTACAACATCACTTACTTAAATTACAAGGTTGGTTTAAACTTTGGAAAGTTCGACTTAATCATGACAATCATTTAATTTTAGAAAACAACACCTGCCCTCCAGTTTATAATGACAACAATCAAATTACTCAAACGGAGATGGTACTTTACCTTGGATTCACCTTCGACAGAAGGATGACATGGGGCCGCATGTAAAAATGAAACTTAAGACACTTAACAAATGAACCAAATTACCGTTCTCTATTTTTTCTAAATCTTCAAAACTGAAACTTAGACAGAAATTGAATACATACACATACTTACACAAACCGATATGGACGTATTCATCACAAATATACGGTATCACTAAAAAAACTCACCTACAAAAACTTCAAGAATGAACAAATGGAAGCAGTACCCATCCCTAGTCCCTAGTCCAAACCTCCGCCAATATTCGTTAGAAATATAAAAAAAAATCAACTAATGTGTCTACAATTAAATAATATAGTGAGCTCAGGTAAATACTTATGCTAAAGCCGCACTAATGACATGAAATTAATGCCTGACACCCCAGATACGTACAGAAAAATTGTCAAGTATTTATCTGACCCTAAGGCGGATTATCATACATATCAGCTGCGCGAAGAGAGAGCGCTCAGGGTGGTGATCAGGAGATTACACCCATCAACACCGCTGGATGCCATTAAAGAAGAACTAACTGAGATGGGGTTCCGTGTTCGCCAAATAGTGAATATATTCAAGGAAGATAGAGAACAGCCTGGCTCAAAAAATAAAATACCGCATACTCCCCGCCTAAAATACTTATCTCAGAATCCCAATTAACTTTCTTCCTTAACTCCTTAGGACACCACTTCCTTCTAGGTGCAGACTTAAATGCTAAACACCAGCAATGGGGAGCCAGAACCACAAATTCCAGAGGACGAACATTGCTATCTGCACTTAATTCCCATCACAGCAACATCCTCTCACCCAATTCTCCCACATACTGGCCAACAGATCCTAACCGCAATCCCGATCTCCTAGATTTGTTCATCCACAAAGGTCTAGGGTCCCTTAATTATAGCATTTCAAGACTTGATGATCTTTCCTCAAACCATAGTCCCCTAATCATAACCGGTCTCCACATCACCAATTCCAAAATCACCTCCACCTTCATTTATCAGGGGGCCAGTTAATTGGAACCTCTTCCGTCAAATACTGGATGATAATATTGACCACAGAGTTTCTTGAAAAAAACACCTGCAGACCTAGATGAAGCAATATATTCCATGACTACCTTGATCCAAATAGCAGTTCGGACTGCATCTTCACCTGATCCTCCTAAACAATACCGCAAAATAAATCCTCTACCCCAAGACCTACTAGACTTTATTAATAGAAAACGATGCTCCAGGATCACCTGGCAATGAACCAGGCATCCTGATGATCGGAAATCATATAACTATTATTCCAAGAAGGTAAAACAAAAACTGGCTACGTTTAGATTCCAATCCTATAATTCCTATCTTTCCTCACTATCTGCAAGTGATAACTCCCTCTGGAATGTAACCAAAAAATCCTTAAATTCCATTCCATTTCCCACCCTATCCGCCATGATGATGGTTCCTGGGCTTCGTCAGATGAGAATAGAGCAGAAGAGTTTGCTAAACATATACCGTACACATTCACTCCTCATCCTGAACTCCATCCCTCCCATACTGCTGAAGTTAAAGAATTCCTCTCTTCACCGATTCCTCTCTCCTTACCTCCTACAGCCTTCAACCCCTCTAAGGTCAAAGTCCTTTTAAAGAACCTAAATTCTCGCAAATCTCCAGGACACGATCTCCTTACTTCCTAGATTCTCAGACAACTTCCCAAAAAAGTTCTCTACAACCTTTTCACAGCTGACATCCCTTCAAGTCCTGATACCTTCCTAGCAACATTTGCTGATGATACTGCCATCCTATCCTCCCGCTCAGATCTTCTAATAGCATTCCGAAACCTGCAAACACACCTCTACTTCATTGAGCAGTGGTGCAACAACTGGCGCATCAAAATTAATTAATCAAAATGCAAAAATGTAACTTTCACTCTTCGACGCAGATCCTGTCCGCCAATCCTTTTTAATTCAATTCCTCTTCCCTACTCAGACACAGTCCGATACCTTGGCTTCCTTCTAGACAAAAGACTAACTTGGAACCAACATACGAGACTTAAAAGACGTGAGCTTAACCGACGATTTGGTCAGCTATATAGACTACTAAACAGAACATCTCATCTCTCAACAGAAAACAAATTATTAATCTCAAGACCATATTAAACAAGACCATACTGAAACCTATCTGGACCTACGGAATTGAACTGTGGGGGACAAATAATCATCGAATATCAAACGCATCCAATCCTTCTAGTCCAAAGTCCTTCGAACAATAGTCAATGCTCCATATTATGTCACGAACAAGACCCTACACCATGACCTTAACATCCCATATGTCCATGACATCATTCCATCCAGATTCTCCAACTTTCACCAGAACCTCATTCATCATTCCAATCATCTAGCGCAATCCCTATCCAGCTCCGAGCATCCATACCATCCCCCTCGAAGGTTGAAACGGCAGTGGCCTCGAGATCTTTTGTAAATGTGCCTTTGGAGTCCTGGCAATGGCCAGCTTCTCCACTCATGTCCTGAGCGTCTGTGGCTCTAGTGCCCTCTTTCAGTCTCCACTGGCTTCTAATACTAGTGAGCGGCTGGAAAAGTGGCACTGGGATCTTCCGGAGTCTTGCTTTGCCTTCCACGTGTGGGGGAAAAAGTCTAGCTCGGAGAATATTGGGCGAATGTATATATTGTATATAGTTATGATTGTGTTTAGAAGTTTTTATTTTATTTTATATGTTTAATTTTTTTTTTACCTTCTTCATCAGTATTATTTATTTACGTCTTATATTTATATTTATTTCTTTATTATTTGTATATATTGTATGAATGAAAACTTTTAGCCCTAATGCTTATAGCCCTCCAGTAGTGGCTGATTGTATTATTATTCAATAAATAGATTAAAAAAAAAAAAAAACTTCAAACGTTCCAATCAAAATTATTGTGACTCATCAAAAGCACCTTGGTACGTGACTAACAAAACTTTACATTCTGACCTCCACCTTCCAACAGTTGACCAACATATAACGACCTTTTATGAAATATTTTACACTAATTTAAACGGACATAATAACAGACTAATAAGATACATAGCCACAGCTGACACACCTCAGAACATAAGGAGGAGACTAAAACGGGGTTGGATGAGAGATCTTCTTTAAACAACCTCTACCTAAGTAATTGGAACAAGTTAGGGAAGAGGTACTGCTGAGTACTTTCCTTCCCCATGCCTTTCATGTCATTATTTCATGTACTGCCATCACATTTGCTGATTGTCAACAATAAGTTGACAGGCGCAAATACATTTATATAGACAAAAAAAACTTTATATTGGGATGTATATTATTAATATCTGTAACGAATTTATTTAATTCGCCTATGTTATCCCCCCCCCCTCATACACAGAAAGCATCGTCAACATACCTGGACCAATCGGTGTCTAACATGTGTTTTGAAATATTCCATAGAGAATATTGTTTTTTCCTATGTACCTATAAACAGCTCAGGATTCAGTGGGGACAAGGAAGAGCCCATCGGCATAGGGTCCATTTTGTAATATTTGTTGATAAAATTTAAAATATTTTATTTAAAGAACATTGAAAGGAATCATATTATATATCTGCTAAAGTATTGCAAAATAGTACTTTTTGTGTATTATCACGTTAAAGTTACTATCTGTAAAATTATAAAAATATAACAAGAAATATTAGCATTGTGGATATTGTCTGGGCCAGGAGAAGACCCTTTAACAATCTTAAGCATCTTCTATAGCTACCACGTAGCCAACAAAGAGTGATAGTCAAGAGATATATCATCAGCCGTGAACACTATGTTCTGAATGTGTCCATCTTCAGAAGATTCTTTAAATATGTATGAGTAAAATTTACAAAATATATTTGCTATACAATTACAAATATTACAAATTTACAATTACAAAATACAATTTTCCATCAGACTGCAATGTACATCTAATTGTAGAAGGTGTTCCTTTAATTTTTCTAATTTTATTCCAAACAATGTTTGCTGATATATAGAAATTGATAACGATGTCCATGATTCTTTTTTTACTTAAATTAAGGGTTGTTCTCCATATAGATATCTGTTTCTTGAATTCAATAAAATTGGTTATTGTCATATTCTTTTGAAAATTGTTAAAAGCTTTTCTTCTTTTTTTCTTTTTATGGTCTCTTTGCAATATTTATTGAACCAGGGAACAGAAGGTCTTCTAGAAAAATAGTCTTCAGTTTACGGCATCCCTGATTCAGCAGCGATTCTGTTATTGCTTTGCATCCTTTATTAATATCTAGACTATTCACGGACGCTAGAGGTAGTTTTGCAAGAGTAGACAATGTACCCAATTAGCTTTTCTGATATTCCATTTTGCTTTTCTGTTGCATGTATCGAAGGTATTAGAAAATTTCAGTTGCAGTGGAAAATGGTTGCTGCCATATATAGTCTGTGGGTCAGACCCCCTATCGTGCAGCCCCTCCCCCCCCCCCCCCGCACTCCCTCTCAACGATACAAATTGCATATTGTTTTGATCCTTGTAACTATTTATTTAAAAAATGCCAAGGAAGGTTCCCACAAAATAAAGGGTACGAACTGCTACAAAATGGAGTCCAAACATGGCGGACTGACGACTTCGACTTTCGTTAGTTTTGTGGTACCTGAGAATCAGCATTTGGCTTAATTTCGTCATAGTTAGTCTTTTATTAAAGCTGGATAGTCAGACAATAATAAAACATGAACAAATGTTAAAGTAATAACTGGCTATGCAACAAAACGCCAGTAAAGTCATTCAAGTTGAAAATCAAGTGTCGTTTGTAATTAAACGGCTAACAATGACGCAAAACCTATTGAAATATATTTCTGAATGGAGAATATATTCCTGTTTCTAATAAACGGAATTCTTTTTAAAATATTTGATTTAGTTCCGTAGTAGATGCACTTTAGCTGCAGAAAAGCAGTACCAGCGTAGGTGCCTACAGGTCTCAACCACACCATTCAGTACTCATAAATGGCTTAGTTATAGTGGTATGATAAAGTTTTTGATACATTATATTGATTGTATTAACGAACAAATATTAATGCAATGATTTAATTGTCCAAAAAAAATTAACATTTTTTATTTATTTATTTTTTAATTTCACTTCCTTTTTTCCATATGGAGAACATTTAATAAGGCCTCTATTGTCAAAATTATAAGATTATAATAATAAAACTTAATTCTAAAATACTTTGCTGAATCTATTTAATTTTTACTTTTACCTATATTATTTATTTAAACCCTACCCTGCCGGTAAGGTTAAGGAAACATTGAATAGCAGTGCATGCGTTACAACTCACTGCTGAATTTAGACCAATTACATTTTTTTTTCAGCTTTATTGTCACAGCCTGCTCTTCTTTTTAACCGACGTCTTCGATCCTCTCTGGCGGCCTTCCAGATTCAGGTCCATCTCTTCTTTCCAATGAAATGTGGTTTGGAAGAACGAGTTACTTCCACCTGTATATGAAGGTTTTGTAGTACGGATAGTTCACGTTAGTCATTAGTTGAGGGAGATCGCTCTCTACCTGAACGTGAAGTCCCGTCTCCCTCAACAACTTGGCCCTCAGTGCCTCAAAGGCGGTAGAGACAAGCACGATATGCTCGACGGTCTCCGGTACTCACCAACTTGGGTATAGGGGATCAACGCTCTTACCATATTCAACGAGTTTTTGCTCAGAAACCGCCATGCTCCGTGAGGAACTATGAGACCCAGTAGCTCGGAAGAACCCACGGCTGTTCTAATCTTGAACTAACGGTGGGGAAGTGTTTTCTCAGAGTATTCGTTTTTTGCGTCGTCACCCACGGCTGATTCCGTCCTTTTAGCGTGTTATCCCGAAGGATGCGTTTCCATCTATTAAAGGTCTTCACTGATCCTCACATGAAAATTAACCGGTAGAGCCACGAGGCCTTCCCTTTTCTACTTGTGCCGAAAATAGTCATCTTGTAGAAGAATATCAATAGGGCTGAACAGAATATTTCAAAATGCTTTTAATATGATGTCAAATTCTGTTAAAAGGGAGTCAAACGCTGGAGCATTTTGGATGATATTAAGAGGACGATGCAGGTTTATTATGGTGAAGACCATTTTATCAGTAAGAATGATTTGTTCGAAGCAATTGGCAAGCCAGCTGGTCTGGACAAAGTAAACCGAATTGCTTCGCACTATTTAGAGCGTACGTAGGTAATAAATGTATTAGAAAATCACATGAAAGGACTGTAGTTTTGTCCCTTTACAAGAAAGGAGATACTAGGAAATGTAATACCCATCGATATACATTCCTGTTTAGTGTATCAAAGAAACTCAATCCAAGAGTCGTAGAAGCTAGAATAAGAAATATTGTCGATTGCAAGAGCGATAACGATTGAGAAACTCAAGTTGCACATTGCAACTCAAGTTGTAAATTGGAACTGTCTCCACTTTAAGGCAGGTTATAGAGAAGTCCATCAAGAAAGAAAAATAGCTCTATATCTGCTTAGTGCATCACCCTTTGGATTGAGCTAATATCTACAAGTCTTTTAAAAAAGCTCCTTTTCTACTTCAATAACCTACTTCAAAGTAAAGATAGTCCCAATGTGCAACTTCAGTAGCAATCGATAATAAAGTGGTTTTCACCATAATAAACCTCGTTTATAGTGTCCAGATCTGCTGACTACCCAATTACTTCGAAAAATTCTTTCTTGCTGATAAAATGGTCTTCACCATAATAAACCTACATCGTTCCATTAATATCATCCAAACTTCTCCAGTATTTGACTCTCTTTTAGCAGCATCTTGAAATATTCTATTCATTTATGTTCTATATATTCTTTTAGCCATATAATGGATACTGATCCTTGTTTTCTTTTTTCGAGATTTTGCATTTCCTTTCTAGTTCGATTAGTGCATTTTTCCAATTTTTGGGTTCAATTTCGCGTTTTTCCTAATTTTGAGATCAAATACTAACAATCAGTTCCGGTTACCTAGAAGAACGTATAGCATCCTTCCATCTTTCTTTGTGCAGAGAAAATAATCCATTCAATATTAAAATTTAATATTCTTTTATGATATGTTCCAGCTTCCGAACAAGATAAAGGAAATAAAAATTATTTTTTTTATTAGTGATATGTGTTTTACAAAACAACCCATCAACTATTCATTATATTTAGTTAAGATTAGGTATATATTATTTTAGTTTATAAAACAGGCATTAATGTGACCCATTTCCTGGGAAGTATATACAATATAGATTAGCTCTAAGAATCATTAATATACAAAACAAAGTGTTAATTGCATTTTCTACGGAACTGCTTCAAATATTTAAAAAAAATTATCAGTGTTTCAGAAGGGGAAATACATTCTACTAATGTTTTATTTCAGCACTGCCCATTAGCACTTGTGTAATGAACTGATCACCAAAAAAATTCCAATATGAAGTCATCATAGAGAAATCCACAAGGTTATTTCTCCGATTTCTTTCTCTAATCCGTGATCATAGTCTTCTAAAGACAGTTTCAGACTGAATCATATGCATGCTAATTTGAAATATAAAATTAAGGAGTGCATATCATAGCCTATTTTCCACCTTTGAGGAATTATTTTTTTTTTTATATATAAATATTATTGAATTCATAGTTTCAGCTAAATTATTAATGTTATTAACTATTTACTAATCTTTCGTTAAATGCATATCTTGAAAAATATGAAAATACAACAGAAAGCATTATCAATAAACTTAAAATAATAAAGTTGTTAATGAAATTATATACGGATTGGTATATGGCTCCACCAGTCATATATGCAATTCCAGATCCATTATGGTTCTTCGGAGATAGAGCAAGAACTGCATCCTACAACAGTGAAGATAAATTAATATATTTTTTATATTATTGATACATTATATTATTTAAATATATTTCAATATGTGTTTGTTTATATATATTTTAATTATCCTTTTTCTGTATATTTTTATTATTTATTGCATAAATAGTGTTAATATTTAAAATCATACTCTGTAAGTACTACGTTCCCAAGTCTCCTGCTTGTGCACCGGGTTGAAGCGGCTCTATTCTACTTCCCAGCTCAATTTATTATTATTTTTTTTATTTTTGAAAACCGTGATAACCAAAAATTCTCCTTACATTTTAGAACTCCTTATTTTACGCTCCTCTTCCCGCTCTCTTAATACCAGATCATAACCTATTGATCGATTTATCCCCTTTCATAAAACCACTTCCATCAGCAAATCCTTTGTCATTCGTACTACCTCCTTTTGGAACTTCTTACCTATCACCATACGTCAAATCATGTCCACGAATTCCTTCAAACAACTTCTATTCCTATATCATATTTCCTATTACCTATTGCCTATTTCACATTTAAACTTTCGCAACCAAATAAGAATGTTTAGATTATATTATTAAAATTGCATACTAACTATTAATCGATAAGAAACATTTTACATCTATTTATTAATTTGTTTGTATTTTTTTCATATTCGTATTATTTTCGAAATGCCAGAATGAAGTAAATATTTCTTGAACTCCATTATTAATCATAGGATACTTTACGCCCTGAATAAAATTGTTATTCATTTCATGAGACGTGTTATTAAGTGTTATTAAGAGTGTATTTACATATACTGTTAGTAAGTAGGAACATTTTTAAAACTAAAACTATCCAGTATATCATGAAATTAAATTATTTAAAAGTTTTACTATTTTAAAACATTCTCTACTTTTTTTCTTCTTTTTTTTCTCAGAACCACCACTACAACCCTTGAAGAATCTTGGATTCAGTACTATTTAGGGAAAGCACTCTTGGTCACGATTGTGCAAGGAGGAGATTTGACCTAGATCACGCTCAAACACCAGATTTTTCCCCTTGATTAATTATTTTAATTTAGGATATCCACTTTATAGAGGCTGGGTGTGCCCTATAAAGGTTTATCTACACAGGGTCGACCCACGGCTAATGAATAGAATAAATAATTTTTCTGCCATGAGCCGGGATTCGAACTTGGTATCTTTAGCATTGGAAGATCAGTACCCAACCACTGAGATACCCCACTCTTCATTTTATTTTTCGATAGAAAGAGGATTTTAATATAAATTTTTGATATATAAATATTCATACTTATTGAAAATGGTTGTCTAATACTTATTTGCTTAGTTGATGCTCCCTTCTATGTATCCAACAATACCCTCCATAATGACCTTCATATCCCATTTCTTATTGACCTAATCCCCGACAAGTTTCCCAAATTTCATCAGAAACTCACTCATCATCCAAACGCTGTAGCACAATCCCTATCTAGCTCCAGCCATCCCTACAATCGTCCCGGAGGTTAAAACGACAGTGTAAATATGTATATATTGGAGTACTGGCAATGGCCAGATTCTCTACTCAAGACATGAGCGTCTGTTGCTATAGTGCCCTCCGTCAGTTTCCACTTGTTTCAAATAACAGTGACGCGGCTGAGAGAGAAGCACTGGGATCTCCTGGAGTCCTGCCTTGGCTTTCACTTCGGAAATAAGGCATGACTCAGAGTCCCCTGGGTGAATGTAAATATTGTACATAGGTGTGAATGTGATTTATTTACTTTAATTTCATCTAGCTTTTATCTATTATTTCATTTTTTTTTTTTTTTTTGCACACAGGCATACCAATTTACTTATATTATTTTTTTAATATTTCTTTTTCTTTATTATTGATATTAAATGTATATACATATTGTGTGAATGAATCATGTAGCCTTAATATTAATGCCCTTCAATGTGGCAGAATGTATTAATATTCAATAAAGAAAGTAATATATGCAAAAAAAAAATCTTATTTACTACCCTGCTTTTAATTATATATTAGTTTTACAACACTAAAAATCCAAAAATGAATAAGATAAAATGTGCCAAACTATCATAAATACACTCTTTTTTTCGGAAGGAGGATTTTAGTGATAGTACTGAAACGAACAGAAGTAAAATAAACGAATTTTCTTTTTTTCAAGTATACACTTCATCGTAAAATTAAACAAATTTTTTTATGAATTATCCCGCATAAAATATGTTAAAGCAGGAATTTCATAGGATAGTGTACTTGGACCATTTATTTTTAATATATTCATAAAAATATCCCAGAGCACAGGAAGGAACCGGTACATCCTACCCTGACGACTTTCAAGGCAGTGGCCATAAGACTTAAGTCCGTCGTCTCCCGTTGACTGTTGCAATATACAGGGTGTTTCAGGGTTAAGTGGCCATACTGCAAAAATGAACTAAGGACCTCAAAACAAATAAAAAATGGCTGCTGAAAGTATGTCAGCAAACGCTTTGTTTAGGAGATATTGGTCTTGCAAAATCAGTCTTGGTCTTGCGCAAGAGTCCCTCAACAGTCATGCAGTTACTTATTAGCTTATTACTGTAGAGATATTACTGCAATTTTTTAGATAGGAGAAACCTAACAAAGCCCGAATGAAAAATTAGAGGAGTTAAATGCAAAAGTATATTGGTTACACCAATTTTTTACATATAGTAAATAAGATTGTCATGTATTAGTAACTATTTGGATTTAATTTTTATTCAAAAAATCAATATTGTTTACCAGTCCTGGTCTTGGTCAGGCCTTGTTCTTGGTCTTGCACTTTGCAACCGATTTTGGGCAACAGTAGATGGGATATAGGCCTTTTAAGATGAGTTTTCCACGATTTGACCATAATGGGTAAAAGAGAGGTAGGACGGCAAGGGGATGCAAAAATAAAAAAAAAACAATAATTATTATTTTAAATAAGATAAGTACAACACTTGATTTACCTTAATTTATATAAACATAAAAAAATAAAATTACAAATATTTTCTGAGAGGATGCTTTTTTTGGCCTTACCCATCAACAATCAAAAATTATACCGCTATCCTAGAAATTATAAAACTGTTTAAACTCATTTAAAAATATAATAAAATGTATTTAAACTTGATTTTTTTTTTTGTTATCATCTTTTACAACCAGAATTGTAATGAAATTTTTGGTTACATCTAAATATAGCCATTTTAAGGTCTTACCTGTTTAGTGGATTGAAATCCTTCAATAGTAATATTTGAAACCATTAGATGTGGATTTGAAGCTATATTATTTAGCTCAGCACAAACTATAACAGATACAGAAATAAATAAAAGCATAAATGCACCATGAATCAGCAACAGAAAAGGAACAAGGGCATATATGTATACATATATACAGATAATGGAGAAGAAGAATCATCTTTATTCTGGGATAAAGTCCCTTAAGAATAAAAATATTGTACATAAAAATTATCATAACATCTGGCCAAAATGGATATTACAATAAAAAAACGTCTGCCAAGTAAGGTCAGTATAGCTTCCTCACCGTTTCCGCTTTATATTACAAGGTATACAATTTTTCGTATGAGAATAAAATCTCTGAGAGAAGCAGAATCTGAATAGCCGATTACAGTTACCCTTCAACATTCAACAACAGAGGGTCGTATTTGAATATTCCATGCTTGATTATGCTTACTAAAAAAAAAAAAAAAAAAAATGCATACTGAACATGAATTTCAATACTGTTAGTTCAAAAGGTCTTATGTATAAATTTATTTATTGTTTTACAAGAGTGCATAAAAACTCAATATTTATTTATACTTTATTAGAATAATTTCATATTTTATTTTCATCTGCTATTTTCCATAGTAGCAGACTACTTATATCAGTTGCAGACTACAAAATATCACCTTTAATACACATAGAATTAAAGTTGAAAATTATTACATACGAACTTATGCTCTAATAATAGTATATACATTACCGAATCAAGATTTAATTTTGGAGGAGGGGCTTCAGCACGAAAGATTTATATATATATATATATATATATATATATATATATATATATATATATATATATATATATATATATATATATAACGATAATTAATTTGAAAAAAACCACTGCAAATTATTTCTCTTTGGTATATTATTTCCAAACAATTATACATATAAAGTAACATTAAATTCCTAGTTATAAAGAAAAATAAATAAAAGGTGATTCTAATTATTGGACTAAAATTTTTTTTAATCATTAGTAATATGCTAAAAAAAATAGCATTACTTCAGTAACACATTCAGAAATCAAAAAAAAGATAAACCTTTTGCAATAGCACATCTAAAAAAAACTAGAGACCATATCTTTGCTCCTAATTGTCCGATTTTGACGAATTTTTTTTTTGTTTTTTAGGAAATTCCGTAAACTTCTAAAAAACCATATACAATATTGACATAAATGTGTATACTTCTTGAGTTATTCGGAATTTAATTTTACCATCCCTCGTAACTTTTTTTGAGCTTCTTTTCGTTGAAGTATGTAGTATAGATAAATTTAGAGGGCGTAGAGAAAATGACTTTAGCGAAGTTTCATCAAAATCGGTACATTCGTTTAGGCGCTACAGTCTATAGCAACGCAGGTTTTTCGGCCGCCATTTTGAAACTAGAAGGCGAATAGTAATGTCGTTGAAGGAGGATGATCCTCGGGTGAGCTCTGATTTTATATCCAAATTCGAAAAAAATCGGTCTAGTAGTTTCAGAAAAAATGCGCGGACGGCGGACTAGTAGAGCACATATAAGAGAAAGTGTTGGACACAATTCAATGAAATTTACACTACATTATTTTTTCACCAAAGTCTACCTTTTATCTAACTTTGAGCCAAATCGAACGAGCCCTTTCTGAAATATTGGTATATCTAAAAATATACGTTTGCGCGTGCGTAGGCGGAAGTGCTGGATGGAATTTGATAAAATTGATATGGGACCATCTAGACACCAATCAGCATAATCCCTGATAATTTCATGAAGATTGGATGAACGGTACTAGGTGATATACCCGTCACATAGATTTGACTACAGACAGACAGACAGACAGAGACCGAACCAAATTTAATCCTTGACGTCTGAAACGTAAAACGCGAGTGAAAATTTTCGATTCTGAGCAAAAAAATTTTAATTTTTCTATTTTTCTAAGCAGTTACTCGCACGAACACAATCTTTCCCTACCTTCGGTAGTGAGGAAGCAATATGTAACAACAGAAGTATTTCATAACTATACAGATATATTAAAGAAATAATATGAGCAATATGGTCACAATACTGCAAAATAGTTGCTACAAACAATAAACTATGGAATAATAAATGAAATTTGAAAATTGAACGATTAATTACTTCTGCTGTAATACCAATGAATTAATGAAAACAATAATAATAAAAGAGCAAATAAATATTTACTATAAATGATTTACATTTATACCTTAATGTGTTCAAATGAGTACAATAATAGTATTGTAAACATTATCCAGGTCTTATATAATTTATATCTTAAGATGTAGATTGATCGGAGAAAACAAAAGATGATATACATATAGAGGAGTACATTCAATATTAGTAATAAATTAAATACTCCTCAAAGACTTAGAATCTTATACATTGAAAAACTAACAAAAAACAATTCTCAGTGAAAGTGACTGGACATCTTTTCCATACTGAAAAAAAAAAAATTGTATCTATATACAAATAATACATAGTGAAAAATGCGATTTTGTTATCTGCTAAATGGCTACCCAGCATCCGATTGAATTGTAAGGAGGAATCGGAATAAGAGGGTTTTAAATATGGATAGGGATGGTGCATGGCGGATTTTAAGTGGGATGGAATTCCAAAAGGCGACGGAGCAGGCAATAAAAGAGTGTTGAAATGAGGCAGATTTGTGAAAAGAGGTATAAAGGTCAGAAGGACGAGATCTTGTGGATAGGGAGTGGATAGATGACTTGGATTGAAGGAGATTAAATTCGTAGGATGGACTATAAATGTAGATTATTTGGTAAAATAATGTACCAAGGAAATAGTGTCTTCTGAAGGAGGGAAAGAGCCACTCTAACTCGGCGGAGCAGTAGGAAACACGAGAACGTCTCGGGGTTCCATGGGGTTCCATTGAAATATCTTATTAAGCTATTCATGATTCTTTTCTTAACAATGGGTTCCTCTTCAATCTTTCAAAATAGAGCATGATACCTCATGCCAGGGCATAGCATCCTATGAACCACCCACTTTCCTCTTTTATGGCAGCATTCTAATATTATCCAATTTCCAAAACCAGGCAATCCTCCCAACAGCTTAACTTCCTACAGACTCATTAGCCTACTTCCAATCCTATTAAAATCCTTGAAAATATCTTCCTGAAACAAACCCTACACTGTATAGGATCTCAAAATCTTCCTCCACATCCGTTCGTATCACTCCACAGTCCAACAAGGACTTCGAGTAGTCGATCGTATTTCCGCAGCTCTAGAAAGCAAGAAATAGTGCTCGGGTGCATTTCTGGACGTAGCTCAAGCTTATGACCGGGCATGACACGGCGGTCTTGTTTTCAAACTTAAAATCAGTCTTTGTACCTTGTCCTCCGCTCCTACGTCTGTGATCGCACCTTCCGAGTTCGCCGCGGCATTGAATTTTCCAATTGCTAGCCAATTGAAGCTGGTGTTCTTCAAGGCAGCGTTTTGGATTGCGTCCTTTACATTCTTTTTACCGCCGACATCTCTGTCCATCCTGATACCTTCCTGGAAACAATTGCTGATGATATCGCCATTCTATCATGGGCTCCTCATTATCCACACTGAGTGCTGAACTGTTTATGGAAAAAAAAAAAACATATTCTCAATGGAAGCTTTTAAAACACATGTTAGACATTGGTCCAGATATGTTGACGATGTTTTCTGTATATGGGAAGGGAAGATAGACGAATTAAATAAATTAGTTACAGACATTAATAATATACATCCCAATATAAACTTCACAACAGAAATAGGTCTAAATAAAATTAACTTCCTTGACTTGACCATTTCAATTGACATTTATTCATTAACATTCGGCATTTACAGAAAACCGACTACTACAGACATAATAATACCGTTTAACTCGCGCCACCCTTGGTCACAAAAACTCAGAACTTTTTACTGGCTAGTTAACAGGTTACAAAAACAACCTTCACCCCTCATCAAAATTGATAAAGAAAAGGCAATCATTTTTCAAATTGTGTCAAATAATGGGTACACCTCAGAAATTATTGAAAAAAATATTTAAGAAAATCGAAATACAAAAATTGTTGTCCTGAAATCTTTTACAAGTTTAAAAAACATGGTCTCCAGGACTGAAGATCGAGTTGATCCTTTAAATAAGAGTGGGGTCAACTGCTCATATATCGGGCAGACGGGAAAGAAACTAACAAACAGAATAAAAGAACACCTCCCTAGCTCAGACCAGAGTTGGGCGTTAGCGCGCTAATTTTTAACTAGCTAACGTAGCGCTAAAAAGCTAAAATTAGCGGCGCTAAATATTAAGCTAATTTAGCTTCTAACTGTTTTAGCTCAGATAACTATAGCGCTAAATTAGCTATTAGCGGAAACGAACCGCTAACTTTTAGCTTAAGCTAAATTAACTATTAACTTAACTAAAAGCTAACTTAACGCTAACACAGGAGGAAAATTTATTTATTTCATTTTATTAATTGATATTAGGATCGACTGTTATGTAGTCAGGGGCGCTTTTTATGAAAATTCTATCGGATTTTAGACAGTGCCTCCGGGCACCGACTTTTTGTAACTTTTCTGATTTAATCGATATATAGGTCGACTATTAGGTTTTGGGGGGCGCTTTTTATGAAAATGATATCGAATTTGAGATTGGGCCCCCCGGGCCTCGACTTTTTTTAACTTTTAGGAATAAATAGATATCAGGGTCGACTGTTATGTTTTGGGGGGGTGCTTATTATGAAAATGATATCGAATTTGAGATTGGGCCCCCCGGGACTCGACTTTTTTTTAACTTTTTGGTTTAATTCGATATCAGGGTAGACTGTTATGTTTTGAGGAGTGCTTTTTATGAAAATGATATCGAATTTGAAATTGGGCACCCGGGACTCGACTTTTTTTTAACTTTTTGGTTTAAATCGATATCAGGATCGACTATTAGGTTTTGGGGGCGCTTTTTATGAAAATGATATCGAATTTGAGATTGAGCCCCCCGGGACTCGACTTTTTTTTATCTTTTTGGTTTAAATCGATATCAGGGTCGACTATTAGGTTTT